AAACAAACATCCAGAACATTCAAAACATAACAGAGCAAGTGCGAGCTCATGATGTAATAACTACACTCAATTACACAATGTAATATAATTCTACGTTAGAATTTAGATAGTTAGATCCAATTTCTCCGTCTTGGTGTCTTTCAGTTCGGGAACTTTCTATAGTTTCTATCTGTGGCACCGGGCCCGGGTACCAGTTCATTTGCCTCGCACCCACTGTGAGAATTGATTAATCAAGCTTTAAATGGTTCGCTCCGTTCAGTAAAATAGTAAAGTTATAGTGTTCAGATCTTTCATATTTGTAATATTTGTAATATTTGGGGAATACTTTCTGTACTATAGGGTTTCAGTTAAATGGGAAATAAATTTCTCAGTCTTTCTTTTGATGTTATTGTTGATGGGTTTAAGGTACCAGTATGTGAAGATTAACCAAACCCATTAAATATAATGATACACCCATTTATTATTATAAATGCAGGGACGTTGCCAGGCATTTTAAGGTAGGGTTAAGCCCTAGACTATACCCGATCTCAACACCATGTGTAAACCAACCAACCCCAGTTCAGTGTTCATGACGTCATGGTTAATATATAACATGTTTCTAAACGATCCACCCTGTTGGCTGTTAATCACGTGATCATGATCAATATAACGTGATCATGATCTGGTGGATTCGTGTAGTGTTATTGAGTCTCATGATTTGATAGTTCTTTCATTCAAATTTCTGATTGTTTCTGAATAGACTCATTGAAGACAGATTCTAATGGAAATAAATAGCTGAATAACGTATCGACATTTCTACGTCATACTCATATTCCCAAATTATTTGTTATATATAGTAGTGTTGAAAGTATTAAAACTTTAATACTTTCAACACTACTATATAACAAATAAAGCGATCATGATCAATATGACGTTACTCTATGTGTGTGAACCGTGAGCCCTGGCTTTCGAAGTGGTCAAGTTAGTTTTGTTTCTTTGGTCACACTTAACTTTTGTTGTAGGTTATTAAGATCGTTTCTTCTATTTGTATTATATACATTGCTTGATGTATTAGGCATTAGGCGATCAGTTGCATAATCCATATTTACAGCAACAATTACACTACGTTACCACTTAGTGCATTATGCATTTTGCCAAATTATGTAGTCTACAGCGGTGAACACGGCATAAATGTGCTAGTTCTAGTAAATTTTTAAGTAGTCAGCTAATAGTTTGGATATTGAGCAAGACTCTGAACAATGTACGTTGTTTTCCAGGACACAAGAGCTGTATTTCCGTTATGTATCAGTGGTAGCAGTAACTTCTACTACCCACAGCTTACTCGTGTGCATTTATTTAGCTCATGCATCATCATCGTTATATCAGAGTTTGTCACGTGATCAATCGAACGTCTAAGATTTGTCCGAGACATGGAATCTCGAGAATCACGTTGTATGGCTATGTTTGTTTTGTTTTATTTAACATTTGTTTCCTCTTGTAGTTATTCCGGACTAAATCAAAAACCTCCTCCACTGGACTAAAATCTTCTTTACTTCTATTGGACTAAATCAATGACAACATATAAGTGCGGTGGGTGCGGAATCGCTCTATTGACCTAATACCGCACTTTTTTGCACCATCGCATCGGACGTCTTTCGTTCTATCAGATTTGTGTACTTCAACTTGGTATCGCTGTGTAAAACGAGATATTATGATAACTATGGTAAGAGTCCAACGTATTTTCATGACGTAACATCGCGTCAGAAAGTAGAATTACTTTTAAAATCAGGAAAAACATATTATTAAGTTATTATACAGGGTGAGTTGAAAATAGTGTGTAGAATGTAAAAATCGATAATTTTTTTAATGAAGGAGCCAATTTTGAAAGGTGAATTGCTATCAGCTCATAAACGTTACAAATTTCATTCTTGCCTCTCATTTGATTCTAACTCATAATTTGGTTGATTCGTCCTAATGGGGTTTTCAAATCGCGTGCCCTGAAAATCGAGTCTAAAAATCTATTTTCTCCTACATTTTTTTAGCAATCACCCTGAAACTTTCAGGATATGTTCTAGGGATCATTTAGAAGAGATGAGCCGAACAGAATTTTGAAAAAGGCCTTTAAACATTTTTTATTCGATTTTGAAAATCGTGGACCTCGAAAAACCATCAAAAAACGAGGTCCAAGATTTTAAAAATCGAATAAAACATGTTTAAAGGCCTATCTCAAAATTCTGTCTGGCTCATCTATTTTAAATGATCCTTAGAACATATCCTGAAAGTTTCAGGGTGATATCTCAAAAAATGTAGGAGAAGATAGATTTTTAGACTCGATTTTCAGGGCACACGATCAAAAATCGTTCACGCAATACAATTACCACACACGCGCTGACCTTTGACCGGCATTAATTTCGGCTAGGAACGATATTTTTCCACGGGATCAAAAGCATCTATTAGATATTACTCCCCTCTATCAGAAACAACTAAAAAGTCGATTTTGAGAACATTTCCATGAAGACCCCGGCCCCCCTTGCCCCCTGGCCTTAATACAGTCAAGTCGGCTATAGACAATTGTCTTACACGTTATCAACATGTCCTAGCTAATAAAGGACGATGGGTTGACCAAATTGTTAATTATTAAGTATTTTTATTGTATTATTATAATATTTATATATTTTCATTACCTAAATATGCAAAAATTAAGTGGAAAATTCATTTGTCAAAAAAATTAGAGCCATTTACATTCTACACACTATTATCAACTCACCCTGTATATAACAAAATTGCTCCTCTTGAAAATATTCCCAGTATTTTTTATCATTATTATCAAATGGCAAGTTGATAATGCACTGACTTTGAATATTATCAATATTTGATTTTTTTTAAATGAGGGCGAATCTTGGCAAATGAATAACTTGTCAAGCTGGATCGCAATCTCTCGACAGATTGCAATTGAGTCACATTAGTCGCTACACACAATGTGTTGGAATCATATTATATTGATATAATGCTGTACAGTTATATTAATACATATTATTATATGTACATATTATAATACAGAAGGTACAATATTGAATACTCAACTTGAATGGTGCCAATCATCAGCTCAACTGGCCCCAGCTCGTCTAATTGTAAAACCTATGAGGATAATTCTATGTTTACAAACTTAGATTTATCCTCATAGAAGGATATTTCAAGATATATAAATACCATCGTAAGACATTGCGCAAGACACATTGTAAGTTAATTGTAAGCTAATTGTCGTGTTAAACACAACAATCGTGTAAGGCACCGTTATTTTATACTACGCCGTTGGATAATGGGGATAATCCAAGCTGAGAGTACTTAAAGGCTGCAAATTTGGCGAATTTTTCAGCTTAATTGCGGTGTTTTCTCATTTATGTCTCAAAATTTGCCGCACATAAAACAGTTTTTGGCAGGTGCGGAATCGCACTATTTACAAAATATTACCGCACCTACATGTTGCCTCTGGACTAAATATAAGTCCTCTTTCAAAACGTGTCACTCCAGATGAATAGTCCTATAAATGCCAGATCTTTAATCTAAACGAGACTCGGTTTCTAATTCATTTGAAAAAACACATACTACATTGTAACATTCTAGTTGAAATTCTATGCGACATTGTAGTTGACATTCTGGTTGATGCTCTAGTTTCTTTTCTTTTCTTGCCTTCTTTGAGCTGTCAGTGAGCCATTGGGCCTAATAGACATTTCCATGATAGAGTAAAACCTCTCTAAACCGGATATCTCGGGGGAGACAAAAAGTACACGGTATAGAGAAACCTCATTATAGAGCGTTATACAGCGTTATAGAGCGTTTCATATACTGCATTAATGTAGTCACTACTCACATAATCCACCAAATGTAAGATAAGCTAAGATAAATCACATTTCTCGCACAATCGGTCTGATCGTGGGGAAAAGAAGATGCCCGGTATAGCGAGGTACCCTCGATTATTCCGCAAACTCTAGCTGGATGAAAATTTCCATTTGGATGTTTTGCGTAAAGCAATATTATGACATTTTCAATATAATATTCGCAAAGCTACCCAAAATCATTTTGAATATTGCATTCCTCAGAACGGTTTTCTGCAGAAATAAAATGGAGTCAGTGATGCGTTAATAGATAATAGATACATGATTAATTAATAATTATATACTTATATTATATACCCTATATACAATAATGCATCATTACCAATTAGGCTACATCTCTGTGCTTTATGTATACTTTACTGAATACTGTGTACTGAGCAGGTTCATGCTGTGGCACGACATAAAGCCGCGCTAGTTCACGTCAATTATTTAATTAGTCAAGGTTATGAGTTAGATTTTAAACTGAGTCCAGTTTCATAGAAATCAATATGTGTGTTTCCTACCTGGTGCTCCTTTTTAGCGGTTTCAATAACTAGAAATAACTAATATCTACCCACAGTTCAAAGTTGATTGCACCTTTGTTACAATATCAATTTTAAGGCTATTTAATTTGCCGTGCAATCGATATTATACAACCACCTTTAAGTTAATACAATTTTGCAGCCATACGATGACACTAGATATTCACTCGGGTTCGTCTCTTCCAATTATTCCAATAATTGCAATATTAGACTAATTTCCTTTTCTCTACGCCACGAACAAGGACTTGTGTAGTAGTGAAACTGCTGTTAATTTAAGTTTTTCTTCGTCATTGTACTCTTCTAGAACATACAGAAAACGTAATCATCAAGTATCTCGATATTTCACCTTTCTAGAACGTCTAGTGGAGTAATTTATCAGTTAACGTAATCATCAAGTATTCTGTTGCATATTATGTTGCTGTTACCATGATAGATATCAATAGAAGTGTTGAATTAACCACACTTTTGAAAAACTTTGTCAAGAAACGGAATATCTTCAGACGTGACGGAATATTTTGAATGAGATTGAATTCGATAAATAGTTATTATTTAATGTAATAAATATTGTAGGAATTTAAAATTTTAACAAAATTACCGTTTCTAGCTCAAGTATGCCACGGGGTCGAGCGCGGAAGCGTTCTGATTCTAAAGACACGCGAGAGTCAGAAAAAAATCGAGCAAAACGGAACCGAGACAAGTTTCGTCAGCTCATAATGGATTTAAACGACTGTGTCAGCGACGAAAGCCTGAGCACAAACAAATGCCTATCAACCGCAATATCCATTTTATCCCTGGAAAAAGTTCACAAAAACTCCGACTCAATACTTGATTCAATAAAAGACTCCCCGGACAGTTCTCCGAGTAGTTCTAGTAGTGGATCACCCGCTAAGGAGCTCCAGCATCTTCTCTCTGCCAGAGACTGTTTTGGTATCGGCTTCAACGAGCAGGGGACCATTTTGTACACTTCACCTAACTTCAAAACAGCTGTGGGATATAAAGAATCTGTTCTCGGAGAGAATCTTGGTAAGTTGGTAAAATGTCTTTAAAATATAAATATCGTAAATGTTTGAGGATATTTTTATGCTCCAATAGTCATGTTTTGATTCGATACCATACTAATGTAATGATTTAAAACGACAAATTGCACTTAAATGCTAAACAGCTCAACACTCACTGCAGCATATTAGCTGCGTTTCATCATTTATTGGGGCTAATGAATTGATTGTATGACTATCAAATTGAAGGAAGCAATCAATTTTTGCAGACAAAGTTGTTCTGCGGTCTCGAGACATCATGAACAAGATATTTAACGAAGGCAACTACCACTTCATATGTATGGTACACATTGTCAAAATGGCAGGCAAAGATTTTGCACCCTTTCACTTCCAAGGGAAGATTCTCCCTTGTCAAGAAGGTAAGCTAAAAGGGCAGCACAATAACGGTTTAAAGTTAAACTTAAAGTAAATATCGCAGACTTAAATGATTTTTTGAACTTGGTTTAAGAAAGACTCCTTTCGTTATCAGGCATTTTAATTGACTTGATCCCCACAAATGTGGACACTTTACTAGAGTTTTATCTTGTTACAAATACATTGATTTAAAATGAGGATAAACCTGTTTTTACTGCCCGGCCCCTATAATTGTTATTCGATATACCGAATTTTGTATTATATCTGTAAATATTAATTATCGTTCTGTGCTGATAAGAAATAAGTATTACCTTGATAAACTGAGCAATTCTAAAAAATCCTTCCCACAACAATTGCCGTTTTGTACACATGAATTATCGCAGGGGGCAGAATGTACCTTGGTTACGGAGAAAGGAAAAATACAATCATCAACGATCCTATCTCCAGTTTTAATGTGAACGAAATACTCATCGGTCTTGACTTATCATTTGTAGGGAAGCGAAACATCTACATAGACTCTCTGCTAGGTTATCCCACCTTCCAGAACTGCACGACGGAACATGTCGTATCAGAGGACTTGACGAACGTTTTCAGTGAGCCGGAAGACTCATCGCGCAGCTTGATCAAATCGTTTCAAGAGGATGGTTATGCACAGCATGTGGTGCGCTTACTCTGCGCTGATAACACTATTTTGTACGTTTTATCAAAAGTTTTCCTGCACATCAACCAGGAAAATGTTCCCGTTATGATCAGTTACAGTGTTCCGTTTGCATTTTCATCCCAATCCCAGAGAACTATTGACGAAGGAATGCGCATGATCACCACACACGAACAGTGGTTGGCTCTGGTGCCTTCCTTTTTCACACCTCCAACTCCAGATAAGCCTCTGTGTCTAGAGGATATTATTCCAACAATCGAAGCTTCGTCACCGGACCTACAAATGGACTCGTCCGCTCAGCTTATGTCATTCCCCCACAGAGACAAGAATCAGATACTGCAGATATCAGATCCTTGTACTATCGAGGAAATAATGCCAGATCAGAAACCAGTTCCAGAGCTGGACCTTGTTGATGTTTTAGACTTTTTGTAACGTATTTTGCCCTCCGTGACCGGCAAAATGTTCTTGTAACAGAGGCTGGGTTTTGAGTCAGCTGGAGCTGTATATATATCAACTCAATCGTAACCAGATTGAACATTGTAAATGGCGCTTTGGCTGGTCTCTGGAGAGGTTTGTGCGAAAAATTTTCCCACGAACAGATCTTGGAATTGAGATTCCTCTTTTGCCAGAGAATGATATTTCAGTTCGGATCGTGTCACCCTTCAACTCAGTTTCTTATACAAAGAAATATTGTGCAGCTCAATATGGCTTAATAGAAGTGTCGCTTGACTCCTTTTCTTGTCAATGGGTTGATTTTGTTGACCATATTGTAGCTAGGAAAATCTTTTCGTTGAAAAAGTTTCATAATATTCTGCTGATACTGCAGAACTACTACTACTGAATTGTATGTGATTTTAACTGTTACCAGATGATATCAGAATCAGCGAATCGTCAAAAGTTAACAGTAACTTCACGAAGATTCAAGAGAGATGAATGAATTCAAGAGATGAATGAATACTGATTGGGATAATAGTGCTATCATGAACGACTTGTGATGCGTGGGATTGAAAGTAAAATCAACTTAGAAAGTAAAATCAACTTACCTTTAGTTTACCTTCATTAAATTCAATGATTGGTGTATAAAAAAAGATTCTCTTATTGTTCCCTGGGTTTCCTATACATTACTATACATTCCTATATATTACTATCTTAACGTTCTAATCAGTGGGTTTTTGTGAATTAAGACGATGATTTAACGATGTATCCTTAATTTGATGATTGATTTTGACTGCTAATGAATCGTTCACATAGTATGTACTATGTAAGCCAGATTTGGGATAATTTATATCTCCTACCCTTACGTTATCACTTTTTTCGCATTTTGTAGAAATCACACCAGTAGAGCAGTAGTGTAAGCTTTTCTAATCCTGCTGCTAATACGTAATATTATGTGAACGATATCCAATTGTGAAACAGTCGAGTCCGTTTTTTGTCTGTCAAAAAGAACTTAAAAATGTGGCATGTGTCGTATTATCTAAAATTTTTAAGTGAGGGTAAATGAGGGAAAATGAGGTAAATGAGTTCGACTGAAATTTCGTTTGTATGGCACATACCACCATCGAATATAAATCTGGAGCTTTCAGATTATACTCGAAGTTTTGTGTCATTTTTTAAATTTTATGCTGTTTGTTTTTTAGACGTATTTACTTATTTAGACTTCTGTTGAATGTGTTTTAAGAAATTGCAAAATGTTAGAATTTATACCTTAACTCAATGCTGAGAATGCTGGAACCTAGTTACCGTGGAGTTAGACGGTGGTGCTACGATATTTTACCAATAATACATACTTGCACACTTATAAAGCTCTTTTCAAGAGGGTGACAGTGCAACCTATCATTTTCAAATGAACTTGCATAATCTACACTTGCAAAGGCATATTAAAACTTAGAATATGAAAGTTAAATATCACGCACTTTTCGTGACCCGAAAAAAGAATGCCGGTGATTCCACGGTGACAATAAGACATCTCAGATGTTTTGGAAATTAATAATCATTCCAGAACAATCAGATTGTTTTTGAAAACGATTAGAGAATAGCTGCGCAGCTGCTGTAAGTCAGTACGAGCAGTGGATATCTAAACATCTTTGTTACGGCTGCTAAATTATAGTTACTTGTCCGTTTTAAGACAAGTATCTTTCTCCATGGTAAACAAAGAGACAATTAGCTCCGCAGTTTTACTTTCACTGTAAGCTACAAATTGTACATCCACTTAAGAGCTAAAACAACTGTTGAAGGCTGCTTGAATAGTTATTGATTGACAGTTACACCTTGATTGTTATCTTGTAGAGAGAATATTTACTTCGAAGAGAATACTTTAGGGGTCGTCACATATTACGTAATCATTGGAAAATTGTTACCCCCCCCCCCCCCCTCCGTAACCAGTTTTAAACATAGCAATTGTGTCAAAGTTACACTAGCGTAATCATTTGGAAACCCCCCTCCCCCTCAGCTGATAACGTAACATGTGAATTGTGAACAACCCCTTACTTTGAAATTGTTTCCATGAAAAAACTTCTTTTTTCAAAAAATGTTTGTTTCGTGTTGATATTGTGTTACGAAATCTTAGAACGAAACAGATATGCTACATACCATGATGATGTTTAATTTATTTTACCGTCTTTAAGAAAAGTGGTTCGTTAAGAACCAAGTCTTGATCCAATTAACTTTGACTTTTAGTTAAATAACACTAAAACCCCGAAATACATATTACCCTAGATCCAAGAATCACTCCCAAAATAGTTTACCTAAAATATTCCTCAAATATTCAAACGATTTTATTATGATTATTTTATGCTTTGAAAAAAATTTCATTTCCATAATTCTCCGTTCGCATCAAGCACAGTTTTTCGGGGTTTACTGTAACAACCATAATCATACAATAGCTCAAAGTTCAAAATTCTGTGGCCCTAATCAAGGAGAAAAGTATACCAGAAAACTGATACCAAGGACTGAATGGAAAACATGTTAAAACAAAGATCTGTGCTGTAAAAGAAAGAGCATGTCTTTCATATTATGTATAATATATAATATGCATAGAGCATATTATATTATATCTAAACCTATAGGCTATATGGTTTCTCCTAATATGAATATTTATGCTGACCCTCCTTTAATCAAGAAGTGAGACTAGAATTGTATGTGCTGCCAGGATTCAATCTGGATAGCTCTAGAAGTTTCTATCAATATTTTTACTAGGTATCCCTAAATGTGTTATTAGAAAACCTCACTTTAGGAAAACGTTAGCTTAGGGTTGGATGGCTAACGCATTCGGATGCAGTTTGAAGGGATACCAATTAAAAACTGTATCAAATATGTAAGTTTTTAAAATATGGACACGTTTATGAAATGGTCATTGGGCCATGTCACAGTTGACGGTAAGGGCATTTTAGTCAAGTTTAGAGAAGTTTAGGTATCTTTTTGGGTTCGTTGGCTATCTAAGACCTTAAGACCAAATTTGTTCCGAATTTTTCCTGAAAACGAGAAATTGTATAGATGGTCGGGTCGTCAGTCACTGGACCTCACCCCGTAGTATATAAAATACCCATTTTTAGGTAGACTTTTCTCTGATGATAAATAGCAAGGGTAAAATCTTTGTTTTAGGGTTCTGTTTCGTGTAAACTAATATTTTCAAAGTTTACTCTGCAGAAAGTTGAGATAATATAATTCCAGTTTATTGAAAAAAGTAACAGATTTGATCATGGATTCTGTACTGCTGAAGCTCAATGTAAAGTGATCGAAAATTTTAACTTGACAGTGAGCTATGTGTTTTATTCAACTTATTGTTATATCGCTTCATTAAAAAATTGCAACAACAGATTAAAATTCCTTTTGATTTAATGAATTCAATAAATTAAATCAGTACACATTTAATATTTACTACTTAGGACCAAACAAATTAATAGAATAAGAAACATTTGTTAAGCATTTTCTCAGACACATACTTCAATACTCGAATAAACACCATGAATAGATTGAATACATGCACGTTTAAATGAAGTCGAAAACTACAGAATTTAAACGGTACCAGAATTTAAACGGTACCATTGCATTATTATAGAGTTCCGTCATTTTCATTTAAAATTGTATGTTCTTCATTAATGGTGTAATTGGAATAACATGTTTTGCCGAATAAAACTTGAAACGGCTTCTTCTATCTCCTAAATAAAATACCTGATATCAGAATTTCTTTCCATTCTTGTCCTAACATTACACTCACCTAACTACATGTTTACCAGTTTACTGCAATGAGAGAAGTAAGGGCGATGTACCGGGTTATGATGAGGACCGCTCAACAGTTTAGTGACTCAGCATACAGGTATGTTTAAAATATTGACATGGCAACGGGGTAGAACCAGACTGACTTGCGATGCAGTTTTCATAAATTCCTACAAAAAATGGCAGTGTACATTCACGTCTTTTGCCAGCGAGGCAAAAAGATTTTACTGTAATCGAGATGTCGCATTTTTTTACTCGAAAAGTACTTCCTTGAACCCTCTGAAATTGAAATGCTAGTATCTTGAATACTAGTATCCAGAATTTTGACGTGTATAATCATTTTTTAAACCATTTGGAACTCTGCCAAGCTACTCAGGGATGGTGGCTCGATCCAAAACCTTCTAGAACAACTACTTTACGGAGCGCGCGTAACTATTTTGACGATGCTATTAGCGCTTTCAGCTAAATTATCAATTTTATTTAATAAATAAAAATATATAAATAAACACTGTGTATAATAATGTAACCACTTAAATAATAATAATGTTGATCATTGTTAGATAAAAATAAGCCTATATCATGTTTGACATCATCAATATTAGTTCATAGACTACAGTCTACCTGCTACCGAGTAACTTGAATTGGATACTAATTTAAATTAAAATGTATCTAATTGGTGTCTACTAAGTACTAATATTGTTGTGCAGTTTTCAGTGTCCTAAAGTTAGACGCTAATTGATTTACATTAATATATAAACATTTAATAGATAACTAATATTCACGCCTAACCCTAATGTCGTATCATACTCTAGGAAGTTTGATCGCGAACCTTATAAATTTTAGGAAATGTGGCTAAATTTTTGTGCTACACTTATCTTTATTAGTTAAGTAACATTATTTTTCCGAATTAGTCTACCGACCGAGTACACTATCTAATGCCGAGCCTGACTACACGGTTGCCTTTTTACATGGAAAGCCTCGTGAGATTTGAGGAACGGTTACCGGTGCCAATCGACCGACAGAAACTCTTGAAAACGCATTAGTAGGAGCATTCATTATCATAATATATATTGTAGTGTAACAAGTATTTAATCGTGATCATTTCAGGAATTACGCCGAATTAAGACGATGATTTAACGATGTATCCTTAATTTGATGATTGATTTTGACTGCTAATGAATCGTTCACATAGTATGTACTATGTAAGCCAGATTTGGGATAATTTATATCTCCTACCCTTACGTTATCACTTTTTTCGCATTTTGTAGAAATCACACCAGTAGAGCAGTAGTGTAAGCTTTTCTAATCCTGCTGCTAATACGTAATATTATGTGAACGATATCCAATTGTGAAACAGTCGAGTCCGTTTTTTGTCTGTCAAAAAGAACTTAAAAATGTGGCATGTGTCGTATTATCTAAAATTTTTAAGTGAGGGTAAATGAGGGAAAATGAGGTAAATGAGTTCGACTGAAATTTCGTTTGTATGGCACATACCACCATCGAATATAAATCTGGAGCTTTCAGATTATACTCGAAGTTTTGTGTCATTTTTTAAATTTTATGCTGTTTGTTTTTTAGACGTATTTACTTATTTAGACTTCTGTTGAATGTGTTTTAAGAAATTGCAAAATGTTAGAATTTATACCTTAACTCAATGCTGAGAATGCTGGAACCTAGTTACCGTGGAGTTAGACGGTGGTGCTACGATATTTTACCAATAATACATACTTGCACACTTATAAAGCTCTTTTCAAGAGGGTGACAGTGCAACCTATCATTTTCAAATGAACTTGCATAATCTACACTTGCAAAGGCATATTAAAACTTAGAATATGAAAGTTAAATATCACGCACTTTTCGTGACCCGAAAAAAGAATGCCGGTGATTCCACGGTGACAATAAGACATCTCAGATGTTTTGGAAATTAATAATCATTCCAGAACAATCAGATTGTTTTTGAAAACGATTAGAGAATAGCTGCGCAGCTGCTGTAAGTCAGTACGAGCAGTGGATATCTAAACATCTTTGTTACGGCTGCTAAATTATAGTTACTTGTCCGTTTTAAGACAAGTATCTTTCTCCATGGTAAACAAAGAGACAATTAGCTCCGCAGTTTTACTTTCACTGTAAGCTACAAATTGTACATCCACTTAAGAGCTAAAACAACTGTTGAAGGCTGCTTGAATAGTTATTGATTGACAGTTACACCTTGATTGTTATCTTGTAGAGAGAATATTTACTTCGAAGAGAATACTTTAGGGGTCGTCACATATTACGTAATCATTTCCTAAAGTTACTAAGCTAACTTTAGGAAAACGTTAGCTTAGGGTTGGATGGCTAACGCATTCGGATGCAGTTTGAAGGGATACCAATTAAAAACTGTATCAAATATGTAAGTTTTTAAAATATGGACACGTTTATGAAATGGTCATTGGGCCATGTCACAGTTGATGGTAAGGGCATTTTAGTCAAGTTTAGAGAAGTTTAGGTATCTTTTTGGGTTCGTTGGCTATCTAAGACCTTAAGACCAAATTTGTTCCGAATTTTTCCTGAAAACGAGAAATTGTATAGATGGTCGGGTCGTCAGTCACTGGACCTCACCCCGTAGTATATAAAATACCCATTTTTAGGTAGACTTTTCTCTGATGATAAATAGCAAGGGTAAAATCTTTGTTTTAGGGTTCTGTTTCGTGTAAACTAATATTTTCAAAGTTTACTCTGCAGAAAGTTGAGATAATATAATTCCAGTTTATTGAAAAAAGTAACAGATTTGATCATGGATTCTGTACTGCTGAAGCTCAATGTAAAGTGATCGAAAATTTTAACTTGACAGTGAGCTATGTGTTTTATTCAACTTATTGTTATATCGCTTCATTAAAAAATTGCAACAACAGATTAAAATTCCTTTTGATTTAATGAATTCAATAAATTAAATCAGTACACATTTAATATTTACTACTTAGGACCAAACAAATTAATAGAATAAGAAACATTTGTTAAGCATTTTCTCAGACACATACTTCAATACTCGAATAAACACCATGAATAGATTGAATACATGCACGTTTAAATGAAGTCGAAAACTACAGAATTTAAACGGTACCAGAATTTAAACGGTACCATTGCATTATTATAGAGTTCCGTCATTTTCATTTAAAATTGTATGTTCTTCATTAATGGTGTAATTGGAATAACATGTTTTGCCGAATAAAACTTGAAACGGCTTCTATCTCCTAAATAAAATACCTGATATCAGAATTTCTTTCCATTTTTGTCCTAACATTACACTCACCTAACTACATGTTTACCAGTTTACTGCAATGGGAGAAGTAAGGGCGATGTACCGGGTTATGATGAGGACTGCTCAACAGTTTAGTGACTCAGCATACAGGTATGTTTAAAATATTGACATGGCAACGGGGTAGAACCAGACTGACTTGCGATGCAGTTTTCATAAATTCCTACAAAAAATGGCAGTGTACATTCACGTCTTTTGCCAGCGAGGCAAAAAGATTTTAATACTGTAATCGAGATGTCGCATTTTTACTCGAAAAGTACTTCCTTGAACCCTCTGAAATTTGAATACTAGTATCTTGAATAATAGTATCCAGAATTTTGACGTGTATAATCATTTTTTAAACCATTTGGAACTCTGCCAAGCTACTCAGGGATGGTGGCTCGATCCAAAACCTTCTAGAACAACTACTTTACGGAGCGCGCGTAACTATTCTGACGATGCTATTAGCGCTTTCAGCTAAATTATCAATTTTATTTAATAAATAAAAATATATAAATAAACACTGTGTATAATAATGTAACCACTTAAATAATAATAATGTTGATCATTGTTAGATAAAAATAAGCCTATATCATGTTTGACATCATCAATATTAGTTCATAGACTACAGTCTACCTGCTACCGAGTAACTTGAATTGGATACTAATTTAAATTAAAATGTATCTAATTGGTGTCTACTAAGTACTAATATTGTTGTGCAGTTTTCAGTGTCCTAAAGTTAGACGCTAATTGATTTACATTAATATATAAACATTCAATAGATAACTAATATTCACGCCTAACCCTAATGTCGTATCATACTCTAGGAAGTTTGATCGCGAACCTTATAAATTTTAGGAAATGTGGCTTAATTTTTGTGCTACACTTATCTTTATTAGTTAAGTAACATTGTTTTTCCGAATTAGTCTACCGACCGAGTACACTATCTAATGCCGAGCCTGACTACACGGTTGCCTTTTTACATGGAAAGCCTCGTGAGATTTGAGGAACGGTTACCGGTGCCAATCGACCGACAGAAACTCTTGAAAACGCATTAGTAGGAGCATTCATTATCATAATATATATTGTAGTGTAACAAGTATTTAATCGTGATCATTTCAGGAATTACGCTTTACGGCGGATAAGGCACGAGTTTCGGACATGTCAGGAGTTTGACAGTAAACGAGCTACTGATAATCTTAACATGCTCGTTAGACAGGTACTACATGGTGTTTTATATTTTGGAGAAGGTGGTCTTTCGAAATGGAGTTTTATAAGTATTTTTATATACAAGATAAGATCAGGCAGAGGGGGTTAGTAAACTTCATCGGTTACCACATATCTATAGAGTAAACGTTTTTTTAAATGCAGTTTTAAAAGATTGAGTCTGTAACGAATCTTTTTATAAAACACACGCTTCAGTCAATTTTTAGCTGTCATCGTTCATGGTCACGCACATCTCCAATCTCAAGCACGGACCAATCTTGCATGATTCACTTTGTACCAATTCAGTTTGAAGTTTCTACCACATTCTTGTCGTTCTCTACCGGAGAACTCCGAACAGTAAGCACATGACGTCACAACTCAGCTGTGGTCCTCCGTATTCGTGGTTACCAACTATCACAGTATCACACCGCTGTTGGGGAGGCAAGAGGGCTGGCGCCGCCCATCTTAAAAACTTTTAACTCTGATTGTACAATGTACACCATTGAAGACAGAGTTTTTCTGCATACTGCCAGTAAAACATATTACACACAACTGCAATGTAAGAATGTTCGTATAAGGTATAATGTGTTTTAGCATGTTACAATGGATAACATCTCCGTTTTGACCTAAAAGCCACGACGTCGAGATATGTCCTGCTACGAGCATGATTACTATTCGAATGTATAGATCTTTATAAAAGGGCCCCCAGCTGTTAGCTGTTCAATCAAGCTAGGATTGGTACATTTTAGGAGTGTGGTTCCGATTCTCATTACGTAAGGTTAAATGCTTCCCGTACGAATACTGGGTAAAAAACTGTATTTGGTCACATGACTCGCCCATATTATAATTAAATAAATTTATAGAGTATGGCAAATCCACTGTGCCTGGTTTCCTATAACATTCTCATAAAATCCTTCTGCTGTTGCATATTGGCCTGTTAATTAGAAGCCATGTGGCTGTTGAAACTGGAAATTACAGAAGTAATGTGACCGGAAGCGATTAAAGCTTAAGCCTGCACGTACGGCACGTACAGGAGATTCGCTAGGCACCCTGCTGTCATTGGTCAGCTGCATTACCGTATCCGGTTGCCTGTAACTCTGTAAGCTACAAGATATGGCGGAGAGAGAGAGGCTAGCGCTGATGTTCAGGAAACATGGCATAGGTTGGAATCGTTAATCACTTTCCTGGATACTGGATAGTTCTGTGTAGAAACTATCTTACCTACCATTCAACTATAGGACTTCTAAATAGGGGGCTTAAATCCTCTTTAAAACGTTTTCGGTTTTGGAATATCCTGGGGTAGGATCGGACAAACTTGAAACAGTTACTATGAGTATTTGTAGAAGTTGAGTTGGGAAATTATTGGGCAGTAAAGCTTTCATTAGGCCACTAGGATTAGTATGGAGTAGAAATTGATAGTATTTTACAGCAAATATCTGATATCATTTTATTTTCAGATAACAATAAGCAAACTGTACAGTATGCCAGTGGATGTCTTGCACAAGAAAACGTGAAACGACAATATGTTTTAGCGGAGTTGTGGATGACTAAATGTTTCATCATGTCATCAGCTGGGTATTGTGAACTATAGCACTGTCACGTGACCAATGGACAGTCTAATATTTCGGTTTAATACCTATTTATTTAGGCAGTTTTCCGGGTAGATCAGTGATATTTTATGATATAACTGACTGCAGAGTAACTTTTTACATTCATATTTAATTTATTTTAAGTTGTACCCAATATATTAGTCTCCATTACTTTTCTATTATATAACAAAAGATTGTTCAAGAAATACAACAAATTATAAAAATTCACTAGAAAAAATATTACAATATTTTTATAAGTTTTAAATAAGAAATTGACTAGGCGATGCCAATACCTTCTTCTCCTATGTCCTAGTTTTGCAGCATGAATTCATGCGCGACGCACCCGTAAAATCGGGCTATTGTTAAAAATCAGTTAAAAATAAGAACCCTGCAATGTTTTATGCCACACTTCACAAAAGTAGCTAAATATAACCTACCTACCCTATCTATTTAATAGTATACCGTTCCATAAAAGTTAAACGATTCTTCCTAAAATTATAGAAAAAATAGGTAAAAATAATGTGTTAATAGATATTCTTAGATTAAAATATATAATATTATTAATCGCTAAACTTAGCCTAGCCTCGCTAACACACTAAAGTCTTATGTCTTCCTAACTATAATCTTCATCGCTAGTGAGGAATTATGAATCCTAGTGACCCTGAGCCCTGCTGATCGTATTCGTAGGTGTACCCGTAATTACAAGGTTCCATACTTCTAACTGGTGCCTCCTGCAAAGAAAACTTTTATTTTTTCAATAATCCAGAAAAAATATTATCAAAGTAACTGGAGCCCAAGCCAAAACTTTGTTTCTTGCTCAATTATATATATGATACAACTACAAGAGAAAACTAGGAGAATCAGAAACAACTCGGACTACATTAGTATTACATTTATTCCTTCTGTAACGTCCTCAAATTAAATGTATTTACTGAAATACATACCGATTCCTTCGAAAAATACTCCATAGACAAACCTGATCAGACTCGAAGGGCAGAGGGCAGTTGAAGTTGTTGTTTGAACCACCAGCTATCCCCAGGAAGTCGTAGCTGTGGGTGTGGCTACCCTCGTCTAGAGATATCCTTATAGGCGGAGAGGGCACTCGTCCGGGCTCCGAATCCTTGTGTTCTCTGTTTTGGGCAGCAGCGGGGAATGTTAATTCCCGACAGCTCGGCCTAATAGTTATATATAAGTAGGATAGGAACACAAATATTATTATCTTATTTCACATTTTTGAGTTGCAAGTTGTAACACAAAATGGGCCTTCCCCCGGTTAAAAGGTTTTTAATGGAAAAATGTTACGACAGCGAAAAAAGCTGCCAACATCATGGATTACGACCCTCCGAATAACATGAAAACATGGTATAATCTAGTTCAGTAACACACCTATTGGCCTTGGTGCAGAGCGTATCATCATCTGTCAGATTGTCAAATATAATCCTGGGGACTGCTGCGTGGTGTTTGGAGCACTCGTCTGTTAGTTTAGAAACCTCCTCTGAGAACTCTGCTATGTTGGAAAGAGAGGGAGAGGGTGATTCCATTGGGGCAGGATCCTGCGTATTAAAATTTGAATGACACATTTGATTTGGTAGATTTCAAAAAACTATCTAATTTAAATACGTAAGTAAATTCACCAATATCGTACAACTACAATTTCATTTTTAGTGAGCAGACTTACAGGAGAGGTGGTTTCCTCTAAGAGACTGATCTGTTCATCGAACATAACAAGAGGTAGCAGCTGTCTCCTCATGACGATAAGGAGGACTAGTACCACAGGTAGTGCCACACAAGTGTAAGGGGTAACCAGGACGATCACCAGTACTAACGTCAGCACTATCTGGGGGAGGAGGTTTAGTTTTCAGAGAGTCAGAGATGGTATTAATTGGGGATCAGTTGACAGAATAGTCTTACGAGGAGTTATGAAAATGAATAAATGTCGGCAGCCATGATCCAAGTTTGAGAAGGAAGCGTGCATATTTTACCTGTAAAATGGTGAAGGAATTTATGACTTTTTGGGGAGTGTTTGCGACGTATCCTTTTTCTGGGTGGTATTTCTCCGACTGCAGTAGTATTTTACATCTGAAATAGAACATCTAATTAAAACGGTGCTTAAAATTTAATTTCAATTTTGTGTCATATTTCTTGGGTCAGCTAGTTGAATACTGAACTGGCAATAATTGAGAAACAACTCACCTCTCGAATAACTGAGTGTGGCGAAGTCCAAGGATGCTAGAAAATAGGATCACTCCCCAGCAAAGTGGTAACGGAACAGCAAGGTGAAGTTTAAACGCCAATAAACATGGAATTATCATCTGAAAACAAAAATGCTAACATTTTTGCGTTATGAATATGAACATAACTATTCAATCGATATACTCATTTACGTCAAGCAATTTAACTTTCGATTTTAAAATGAGGGGATTTTTCGTAGTACAATAAAACCACCAATGACATCGCCCCGATTTACCGCAAACTCAGATTAACCGAGACTGTTTCCTTTCTCGGGGTTCTACCGCATACCGCATTGAATTGCGTGTTTGTGGAAATTAAGACACTATGGTACCTACACAGCCAAATAATCAATAGTTAACTCACGGTCAAGGAACTGAGTGTCAAGGTGGCTCGCTGCTCCTTCACATACAACATATCCTGGTTTGTTACAGAGGTCTTTGAGAGCAAGTGCAGCAGAATAGGGGTTAGAATCAGATCCGGTATCAGGAACGGTAGACCGAACACTCCGGAAAACAACACTCCCATTCCAACAAGACACTGGTCCCAGAACCGTCCACTGAACTTTCTAACTCGGTGGTTGGGCTGGTTAATCCAGCTCTGAACAACTCCTAACATCAGGACCACTAAAACAGTCAGCAGAACTCCTGATACCACACCAGCTGTTACCACTCCTACTTCCGCTGGGAACGCGGGATATCCTATCTGTATCGGAATGTTTTTACTGAAATTACCAGTCATGTTATTTCCATACTGAACATTCCTAAGTTGAGTTGAGTTACTGTTTACAACCTGAGCCGGGGGCTTATCAAAGAAGCTTTCAGTCAGTTTTGAGAGAGCTGTCGTGTCCCGGGTAGGGTAAGGGGAGGTCTCCAGGGATGTGAAGTAAACAAGGAAGAAGGTGATGAAGATCAGGGTGAAGAGGTTGAGGGTCTTCAACACCGCTCTTATCTTTTTGGTGAACATGGTGCTGTCGGTGATGGCTTGCCAGATTTTCAAGAACACCACAGTGAATAGGGTTAACACAATCGAGCAGAGTAATAGATTAGATTCCTGTAGAGGGGATGTTTAGCATTTGAAAATAATTGTATCAATAAGAGTTTAAATAATATTTGCTTAACTTTACACAAACATAATCGTATAAAATTATGCATCATTAATAAAACCACAACAACTTAAGTGTTGCCACATAACCACAGACTGTCACTAACCAGTGGATATCTGAGCAACATAAGGAGGATGGTGATGACCAGGGAGAGTGGTAAAGCAGTCATAACTGTCTCATATACAAACACGCTGACAGCGGGCAGGAGATTACCGGCATTTAGCACAGAGGACACCATCAGTAGTACACCTGATACAACACCTGGTAAGACAGGGAAAGTTAGATAAAGCAAAGCTTAAAATAGTAAAAAAAGGTAAACACTCCCATGATATGAGCGATTGAAGCTACAAGGTAATATGAAAACAACGTGATGACACTTCTCTTTTCTTCTAACCGAGAAGAGGTCGGACTGTGGCGTAAGAAACTCCAAACTTCGAGAGGACAGAACTGAAAGCTATCTCCCAGAGGATGACGGGCAGGGAGACCGAGCATACAACCAGAGGTACACAGGATGCCAGGGAGGTGACCATACCCATAACTCCAACTCCTATCAGCGTCAGCGATACGGGCTGAATGAGAGGTTAGTTTAAGTTAATGAGAATGGAAATTATTTTGCAGTACTCACGATGCGATGTACAAAGTTTTATTACGAGATTTCCAAGCTACGGAAGGAAGAACTTAAAATCAGGCTATAACTTACATAACGTATTTGGGGAGAAGCAAGTTGAATAAGGAGTAGTGTGTGACACAGGAGTTGAACACTGAATTGGAGAGTTGCCAACAGTGGGAGTAGCCGTATCACTCGAATCCAATCTTTCCGATAACGAGATTTCAGTGCATTCAAGTCGTGTAACACCCCTCCAAACGGTCTGCGGGTTATAAGAACATGGTTAGCATAATACGCATAATAATGAACATAATGAGCTCTTTCATTTTGAGACATGAAGTAATATATAATAGCCGGTGTAGCTGGAGGAAGTCTACGTCTTGCATGGCTAACATTTTAAAGACTATTTCGAGTTCGCAAAGTAAGTCACAAATTCGAGAAGAGACCGTTTGGCCAGTCTGTCACAATAAGTGCGATAATGCGTTATTTAAACATGAGGAAAATGTGATGACATAATATTACAGCTTCTTGCAAATTGATAGTGCGCGCCACCAATACCATGGTCACGAGTGAGTCAGGTGGTGTGTATTGTGTGATTCTGTTAGTCGAGGCATCATGAGCAAAGTGCATTAGCATAGTGCTGACATTATACACTTTAATGAAGTCCATTATCACATTACGCAGCATGATGCCGTCCTTACTCACTCACAAGGAAATATTTTCTATTCATCCCCGGGTATATAGCTAACTTTTGCACAATAGTATTGCCAACGTACAAGCGCAGGGGAAGCGTTCTCTGACAGCCACAACCAAAAAAATCACAAACTAGAAAACCCCCAAGTACTGCAGGAGTATGCCACCAATTCGTGGTGATTAAGCGTACGTTTGAAGCTGCAGCTCATGTTCACATTGATCAGTTGGAGAACATTCCAGTTGTGACCGTAAGACGTTGTGTACGTTGGCAAAACATACTGCATTGCGCATACCACAGCGGTCGAGAAGACTTATTCCGGCCGACTAACTAAACACTACATCACAGCTAATGCTTAGTTAGGTACGGCCGGAATAGGACTCCGCCGACCACTGCAGTATGCGCAATTCAGTATGTTTTTGCTTAAATTTTTCAGACATTATCCTGAAAAACCATGCACTTCTTCCAAGAACTAGCATATTCTAAACATAATCCCGTAACCTGGGGTACACTGATTGTCCATAAGATTATAATAATGATTATTACCGAGGTAGAACTTCTGTTGAAGAAGAAGAGAAACTTATAAATTTATCGACTGCATGCAAGAGCTTACTTGACATGGGCGTAGAAAGCAACATCTGGTCCACTATTTAAATCCTCTTCTTCCTCCTCTACATCCTCCTCTTCCTCCGGTACTGTTATCTTCATCTTGGGGTTCCACTCACTTGGTGGGATCACTATTGCCTGAAAGCAGTGATACTTTTAACGAAAGTAGAACACAGTAACTTTACAACTAAATTTGCAATTACTAAATAATACTTTAATTAAATGTGGTACGCCTTTCGGCTAACCGACCAATATAGCATCATTATTTCCAAAATTTATGAATCGCAAAAAGGCGTGGCAAATAAAGTTGTTGGAGCAGGATGCAAAATTGCCGACAAGTTTTTAATATAAAAGTCAAAAGTACTATAAGTAAGTACCCATTGTATCAAACCACCCAATTTTGAGTTAGGCCTTTAAAAAAATTTGGCGGCCAAATCCTGAATTTTGCAGTGCAAATTTTGGAATTTGGCCGCCAAATTTTTTTAAAGGCCTAACTAAAAATTCCAATACAAAACTTAAGGTCGAAATGCGATTCTACGTTGATTCTGAAAATTTCATGTAAAAATATTGAAACCCTATTGAGTTCTATTGTTTTGAGCGAAATCAGTTTTGCAAATATCGCGAACTGAGATATGGGCAATTTTGTTCATTTTTTGCGATTATTTGAACACAGAATCCACAGTTATGTAGATACTGAGCTGATAATCATAGATAATGTGTAGCATAGGCTTACCTTCCAATTATATAAAGTTGGTTTCATTCAAAAATAATGATATTTGACCAATTTATGGGCCAAAATCGATCAAATTTGGTGCGTATGCCCAAATATGGTCATATGGTTTTAGCTCATAACTTAGTTATTTTTTGTCCAATCTTAATGAAAATTCATATACGAGTTCAGGGGACCACTAGCTACCACTAGCGGTTGGGGTCCCGGACCCCCTCAAAAGTTTGGTCACTGGTCCTAGTTTGTTGGTCAACTGCTCGAAACCAAGTTTCACAAAAAAATCAGGGTGAACCCCCCCCCCCCCCCCCCCCCCCCCATGAAATTTTCAGAATCAACGTAGAATCGCATTTCGACCTTAAGTTTTGTATTGGAATTTTTAGTTAGGCCTTTAAAAAAATTTGGCGGCCAAATCCTGAATTTTGCAGTGCAAATTTTGGAATTTGGCCGCCAAATTTTTTTAAAGGCCTAACTAAAAATTCCAATACAAAACTTAAGGTCGAAATGCGATTCTACGTTGATTCTGAAAATTTCATGTAAAAATGTTGAAACCCTATTGAGTTCTATTGTTTTGAGCGAAATCAGTTTTGCAAATATTGCGAACTGAGATATGGGCAATTTTGTTCATTTTTTGCGATTATTTGAACACAGAATCCACAGTTATGTAGATACTGAGCTGATAATCATAGATAATGTGTAGCATAGGCTTACCTTCCAATTATATAAAGTTGGTTTCATTCAAAAATAATGATATTTGACCAATTTATGGGCCAAAATCGATCAAATTTGGTGCGTATGCCCAAATATGGTCATATGGTTTTTAGCTCATAACTTAGTTATTTTTTGTCCAATCTTAATGAAAATTCATATACGAGTTCAGGGGACCACTAGCTACCACTAGCGGTTGGGGTCCGGGACCCCCTCAAAAGTTTGGTCACTGGTCCTAGTTTGTTGGTCAACTGCTCGAAACCAAGTTTCACAAAAAAATCAGGGTGAACCCCCCCCCCCCCCCCCCCTTAAAGCCAGATGATTTCATCCCCGACTAATTAAAATGGTTTGTGAATTCGATGTCCTAATGTGATGAAACGAATACGATTATGAAGTGTGTTTCAAAAATACGTATTGATTTTTACAGCCATGATTTAGTAACATGGCCAATTATGCAAGTGTACAATAAACATGAAAATCCCACAAAGCGTCTGTCCCTGCAAATATTTCACGAGAATAAGATTGAAGACTGCTGCTTATTGACAAGTCCTTTGCCAAAATCTATTTCAATACCACAACGAATCCGCCCGTATTCGATAGTCATTGATCTCGGAATCAAACAGGTGTGGGTTGTTGTATTGGAATCAAATCTTGTGATCAACCAAATTAAATGGGCCCAGCCTTCGAGACGTTGAATAGTAAAACTGTTTCAGTTGTAACTCAGGATACAAAATGCAAGTTTAATTTGATTGGAACAGTGTCATCAATAACTGAACGGAAACAGCATTTTTATTTTAAAGTTTACACTTTTTATCTCTGCCCTGGTGTTTAAACAGCTGCTATCTTGTTACTGTTACTTTACAGTTACTTAGTTACTTGGTTACTCTACTGTTAGTAAGTTACGTTACTGTACTGATTTGCGATACAACGGGATAATTAGGATTCTTGAAGGACAGACTGTTATATTATTTCAAGGATCTGGTACAGGAAGCTGCTTTTAGCAGACTGCATGATTGCTTTTGCCAACAATGCCACCACATCAATAATTCAATGTTTTCTATATAAATGGGCACACGCCACACACCATTAGTTTAGCATGGGGGGGTACCAATGGCATAAATGGCATAATGGAGAATTGGCCAATAAAAATTTCCATTTATGCCATAAAACGTATGCCATTTATGCCATTTTTGATATAATACATTTCTATTTTCTTTATTTGTCATATGAATCTTTAACGATCATTCCAAGCGTTATAAAGCATGAAACATGTCTCTTATTCAAGTACTAATAATAATTTGCGAATTTAAAGTCAAATATGAAGACCTAAATTCATGGCATAAATGGAGAATTGGCCAATAAGAATTTCCATTTATGCCATAAAACGTATGCCATTTATGCCATTTTATGCCATTGGTACCCCCCCTTTAGCATATTAAGATTTGTCCCTCGCCTAATGCCCATACCAAAAAACTGGGCACTTATGGAAAAATGGGCACATTCCATTAGTTTACCACTCTCCTCTCGTCCTAAGATAGGCTTTGTTTTTTAACAATAGACCAATTTAAGTTTAACCAGCAGAGGCCGAATTGTCGTTCCCTTCAACAATTTATTGATTTCAACGCATTTTAGATTACTGTGTGAGAAAATATCTCATAAGACTCAACAGAAATATTCAGATGAGCCTATATTTATAGTTATAGTGAACGGAAATCTAGCGTCCGCCAAAACGAAACAACGGGCGCAATTCTTGTTTAAGATGTAAATTATCTTTTTTTATCAGGAAGCTGGTTCTCCTGTGTATAAGAGGAACCAGATCTTCTGTCAATACAGTTGACAAAAGTTGTGAAAGCGACTTTGAGTTTGCATGCTTTGTATCAAAGCTTAGTGAATTAGGAGTCCCAAGGACTCAATAAATTGATGTTAAAAATCTTATCGATATATGTTGTTGTAAATATTAATGGGCAATTCAGTAATGTGGCAAAGCACGGTTAAGGCACGGTTAAGGCACGGTTAAAGCAAGGTTAAGGCACGGTTAAGGCACAAGGGTTACATAAGGCACGGTTCTTAAGGCACGGTTAACGCACGGTTAACGCACGGTTAACGCACGGTTAACGCACGGTTAACGCACGGTTAACGCACGGTTAACGCACGGTTAAGGCACAAACTGCCTTAACCGTCCCTTAACTGTGCTTTAACCGTGCCTTAACCGTGCCTTAACAGTGCGTTAACCGTGCTTTGCCACATTACTGAATTGCCTATCAATGTTATATATTATTCTATTTGGTTTTCATTTCAACGCAGCGTCGCAGCGTGGACCTTATTCGGAACTCAAATAATGCCATTATGAGATTCCAAGAAGTAATCGATAGAAAATATGTACATACTAGCTATTTTGGGGTGCCAATCGTCCAAATTCTGATTTCTTTTGTCGCATTTACCAATCGGATTGTGTGTGTGTGTGTGTGTGTGTGTGTGTGTGTGTGTGTGTGTGTGTGTGTGTGTGTGTGTGTGTGTGTGTGTGTGTGTGTGTGTGTGTGTGTGTGTGTGTGTGTGTGTGTGTGTGTGTGTGTGTGTGTGTGTGTGTGTGTGTGTGTGTGTGTGTGTGTGTGTGTGTGTGTGTGTGTGTGTGTGTGTGTGTGTGTGTGTGTGTGTGTGTGTGTGTGTGTGTGTGTGTGTGTGTGTGTGTGTGTGTGTGTGTGTGTGTGTGTGTGTGTGTGTGTGTGTGTGTGTGTGTGTGTGTGTGTGTGTGTGTGTGTGTGTGTGTGTGTGTGTGTGTGTGTGTGTGTGTGTGTGTGTGTGTGTGTGTGTGTGTGTGTGTGTGTGTGTGTGTGTGTGTGTGTGTGTGTGTGTGTGTGTGTGTGTGTGTGTGTGTGTGTGTGTGTGTGTGTGTGTGTGTGTGTGTGTGTGTGTGTGTGTGTGTGTGTGTGTGTGTGTGTGTGTGTGTGTGTGTGTGTGTGTGTGTGTGTGTGTGTGTGTGTGTGTGTGTGTGTGTGTGTGTGTGTGTGTGTGTGTGTGTGTGTGTGTGTGTGTGTGTGTGTGTGTGTGTGTGTGTGTGTGTGTGTGTGTGTGTGTGTGTGTGTGTGTGTGTGTGTGTGTGTGTGTGTGTGTTGTTTTGAGACTCAAAGGAAACAACTCATGTAGCGCAAACCAACTGTCAACTGAATTCCATGTTTAAAATAGTTCACATACCCGTTACCCTTCCTGTCAGTATATTGGACAGTACGCTGATTCAACTGGTGCAACGATAATTGAAACTCAATTCTTTTAAGGATTCAGATCACAAATAGCTGCTGCTGTGAGGGCACGATCCTATTCCTTGGTAATCGATCGCATCGGTTCTCAGCGAAATTTTATGAATTCTAATTGATTTCATGGTTTGAGGTCACGCCTTTTCATAAGCTGATCGGGACTCTAATATTTCACTTCATTTCGGTCGACCTCAAATCTAGCTTAGTAAGGTCATTAAACGTTACTTATATTTCGAAAGTAGAATTCGTTTCCATGAACACGACCCGTTGCCGTTCATCAAGTTAAAATTTCTCATTCTTCTTTCTTTTGAGCTACATAAAAGAGTAATATTCGTTTTATTTGAGAAGGTTTAATCTTATATGACTACATAGACCAGACACGCTTCGGGTTAAGAAATAAGAATGGTGCTTAGACTTAGAATATGAATAATGTAACGCTGCAGTAGCTTTTCAGTAACTTTTTAAAAAAAGTAGTCAGCTAGATTACACTATAAGCAAGGTTCCTGATATTTAGTGCTGCACTAGAAGCTTTAACATTGGTTAACAGATCTGCGCAGTAACATGGTGACACGTTTGTTATATATACTTTAATTTTCACGTTTCTTGTTTCCACCCAGTAGATTAAGATTTCCAAATTATCATTTTGATTATAATCTACGATTTACTTGCGTATAATTAGTTGTTGGTACAAGTAACACTACGAATTCGGGCTTCGGAAAGTGGTAAGAAAGAATAGAAAATATTTTGTTTGGCTTTTTTAGGACGTATCTTGTTTATTCTTGCTTTCTTCTGTTCTGTAGATGTTATAGTTCATCTGCAACAATCTTGTCTCTTCGACGTGCCGCGCTCATTGCTTGCTTCGCTTCGATCTCGTGACGAGATCGTAGCGGAGCTGATACAAATTTTGGTTCTCCTTGTCGATTCTTATATTCTGGCCATTTAGTGCATAGGGAAAGGAATTAAGCTCATATTCCCTCCACTGAATAGATCATCAAAGTCTGCCCATGATGGTTCAAGCATTCTTAGCCGCTCCATGAAGCTTTTTAGCAATAGCAATGTCTTCAATTTTGTAGCAGATGTGGCGAAAGAATCACCGAACTTCGTAGTTTTACTATCGACAGCATACGCTGCCCGTCGATAGTAACCTCTTCCGGAGAAAAACTTCTTCATTTTAGCCCGGAAGCTCTTCTTCTGTCGGCCATGAGGCAGCAAGTTAAAAGCAGGCTGCGTTTCTTCACGTTGTTGGAAGGATCCCACCCAGTTGTTGGAATCCATCTCTTGTACCTCATCCTCAACACACCCTGGAAGGGCGAATAAACTCGCGTCTTCGGTGGAGAAGATGTCGTCGGTCGAACGGCCGAAATGGACGAGACTGCCTGTACCTTCGAGATGATGCAGGTACCCGGAGTTCTGGTTCAATCAGTATCGGCGTCGCCTCAGTCATCTCGTAGGCATTTACAGATCTTCGATTCAAAAGATTTGAAAATACCATTTTGAGGTCGTTTTTTTAAGAGGTTTTACTTAGTAACGTATTGAAATGGAAATAGAGAAATAGCTAATGTGCAAGTGGGACATGGAGAACTAATACGGGAGCAGGCTGTTGCCTTGTCAATTTCATCTTTATGAAGGAGTACTAGGGCGAGCTACTGCGCGGCAGATGATTTCACTAATTAATTATGTAGTAATAATCAATAAATTAAACGCAACAATACATAGATGTTAGCGAATGCGTTTACGAAGGTTTAATCTTGTACAGTGGGGTGACATATGTTTTCGTCACTTCTGATAATGACAATACAAACAGCGTTAAACTAACAATTTTCATTGAACCATAACTCCGCTTCCGGACCACCGATTTACAAAATTCAAAAATGGGTGTTTAGAGAAAATTCTGAACTTTTCTCGGACAGTAGAAATTAAGTTCATTCGTGCTTCAGAAGAGACTGGCAGGCCCATAAATAAGGGGTTTGATCACGATAATGATATTATTTATGAAGGAGCACATGTTTTAATAGCAAGCGACGAACTTTTGTCTACTTCAATATTACCATGAAGTTTAAAACGGAATATCTTTGTACTGCATCGTTCGATTTCGATAAAATTGATAAGGTAACAAGACCAAATGTTTCTCAGTTGATTAAAATAAATACTGTTAGAGTTGTTAATCTTCAGCCAGAGATAGCATAAGTTTACCATGCTAAGTTGGATATTGTGAACACTTCCCTATTCCTCAATTTTTAGTGGTGTCATAGATATTACATCGCCACAAAATTTACTACAGATACGCCAAAGGGTCTGGGCCTTGTACTAGACAAATTCTCCAGACTCGTGATTACACTCACTGCTAACAATATCACGTGACGTGCACGCAAACTCGCGCGCTAAAATGCGCGCATTCAGAAGTGACGAAAACATATGTCACCCCACTGTATTACTACATACACGAGACACGCTTCGGGTAAAGAGTGGTGCTTTGACTAAAAACAGGAACAATGTTGTACCATTGCAGCAGTGGTTTTCAAATCCTCCGGACATCTAAACTTTGACATACTTCTTTAAGTAGTTAGCTAAATTACACTATAAGCGAGGTTCTTGGCATTTATAAGTGCCACACTAATCCCTAGACGTTTGAACAATGATTAAAAGATCCGCACGGCGCACAGTTAAATGTTTTGTTAGTTTGTTATCTACCATAATTTTCACGTTTCTTAGTGCCCTCTTTTGTTTCCATCCAGAAGATTAAGATTTCCAAGTTATAATTTTGATTACAACCCTCGATTTATTTTCGTATAATTAGTTGTTAGTACAAGTAACACTACAAATTCTGGCCTCGGAAAGTGTAAGAAAGTATAGAATATTTTTTTTTTGGCTTTTTTTGGATGTATCTTTTTTTTGTGTGTTTTTTGGGATACAAATCCTTTTTTTTTCCTTTTTTAAAACCTGATATGATTTTGATAATAATACAAGTGAATGTGCCAGAGCAGTATTCTTGCTTTGCTTTGTCCTGTAGATGTTGTATTTCTGATTTCATCATTTTCGTCCGTTGACGTCGTCACTACTGGAATGCCAGTGTCGATCTTGTCTGCACCAATATTGCTGTATCAATCTTTATGTTCTTAATACTTTGAAGGACGTCGCCGCTTCGACGTGCCGCGCTCCTTGTCAGTTGTCGGTCCTTATATTCTGGCCGATTGTTGCATTGGGAAAGGAATTAAGGTCATATTCCCTCTACTAAATAAGTCATCAAAGACTGCCCATGATGGTTCAGGCATGGAGCTTTTTAGCAATGTCTTCAATTTCGTAGCAGATGTGGTGAACGAATCGCCAAACTTCGTAGTTTTACTATCGACAGCATAAGCTGCTCGTCGATAGTAACCTTTTCCAGAGAAAAGCGTCTTTACTTTAGCCCGGAAGCTCTTCTTCCGTCGGCCATGAGGCAGCAAGTTAAAAGCAGGCTGCGTTTCTTCACGTTGTTGGAAGGATCCCACCCAATTGTTGGAATCCGTCTCTTGGACCTGATCCTCAACACATCCTGGAAGGGCGAATAAACTCGCGTCTTCGGTGAGGAAGATGTTGTCGGTCGAACGGCCGAAATATATGATACTGTCTGTATCATTTGACCTTAATGATGATGCAGGCACTTGAAATTCCGGTTCAATCCTTATCTGTATCACCTCAGTCTCGTATAGAGAGCTTCTATTCATAAGGTTTGAAAAAACCATCTTGGGGTTGTTTCTTATTTTCTTTGAGAGGTTAACTTTAGAACGTAATAGATTTGTAATAGCAAAATAGCTAACGTGCACGTGCGATATAGCAAACTAGTACGGGACCAGGCTGTTGCCATGGCAATTTCATCTTTAAGAAGGTGTACTTTAATCAGAGTGCATGTGCTACTGCGCGGTAGATGATTTCACTGATTAATTTAATGAATAAATAAATTAAACCCAGCAGATGTGAGTGAATGCTGTGACTTTTCCGAATTTAAATCTGTTAAAAATGCATGGATGAGAGAGGCACAAGATAATATACATCTCTACGCCGAATAATAATAGTGAAAATAATTTTATATCTGAGTTTTCATCATGAGTATTCCATTCTTCGGGGCTCAAGTTGTGGCAAGTGATCGGACCAACTTCTGTATCATAAAATGTATTCAAATTAATTATACGTACGTACGTACGTGATCGTATATACGCGCGTGACTATTTGCGCGCAAACAATTACCACTGAAACCTTCGCGCCGTACGCATTTCGTGTTGTACGATTCTGATATTTTCGAAGGGTAGGTTTTCGAACAAAAAAAAGGCATAATACGAGTTTTTCTGGCACGGCTTTTAATTTCAAACGTTATCAGCGTATGAGACTCTTATCTCGTTACCCCCAATGCTCAAGAATCTAAATGGAGTGGTATGCCTACCTTCTCAAGAAACCGGTCAATTCCCTGAATCACTTCTGCTTTGCTGGAAGCTGAGTATGCTGCCTCATAAAACATCTGAAATAAGATATTATGCGATATTTATGCGCCGTGTGGAATATGTGATAGAGTATTCTAGATCCTAGTCACACTGATGTCGAGTACAGTTTTCTCGACTTTTGAATCGCGCACCAGTCTAAGATCCACAATGAAAACAAAATCAGAAGCAAACAGTATTAACGTTGATATTACACTCCAAGCTGTTTGTTGAGTACAAATTACAATTGTGGCAATACCAATACTCACTACACGAAACAGGATATAATATCCTTTAAAACCGTATAAGTGGCAGCAATAAAATAAAAGTGTGGCCACCCAGGCGGTAGCAAATGTTTTACCTCGTCAGAGAATAGTGTAGAAGCAGCCCGGCCAACTTCCACGTGGTCAATTTGGGAATGGTCCGGACAAAGCAGGAGAAATATAAACCGAGTAGGAATAGGAACTTCAGTCAGGTCTCCGAGCAAGATTGAGTGAGACAACCTGAGGATGAGGTGTTAGCTTTAAATCTTTATTCGTAAACTAAATAGGTTCACTGTGATGCACATAAGGACGCTTTCAGTTAACGTACAATTAACATTAAGATAGCATTCTTTAATACTTAGTGACAGGTGCTGATCAAGTTAATTCTAATTGATTAATTGATTCTATTCGATTAACGGAGTCCTTTATCTGTGAGTGTTTCAACTTGACCTGCTTTAGCATGGTTACTATGAATAATAATTGCGTTACACTAAAGTCTACCCCCACAGGTTAGCCGGGTGGTATATAATGCGTGTGGTAGTGCAACATTCCTGTCTCATTAACATTATTATCGGTAAAGCTAATCTGAGATATCAAGTAGCTGAGATTTGACCATTGGCTTGTATTATTAAATACAGATAGGCAGATAAGTGTGCTCCTCCCCAGACCACGGAGCTGCACTGTCTTAGTTTATGTTATTTAATGTTACTTAATGTTACTTAATGTTACTTAATGTTACTTAATGTTACTTAATAAAGTAACATAAAGTAACATACATTTTAATTTATGTTACTTTATACTTGATGAGAAACACATCAGTTATCAGTTACCTGATTGTAACGCAGATGTTAGCTTCCAAATATTCCAGTTTCCCGATCATCACATTGCTCGCTTCTGTGTCAGGCGGTAACTTCCGTAGAAAGTGTTGCTTCATCTGCGGAGGAGAACAATATGTTATGACAGGTGGATAACATAATATTATAATAGATTTGATGCAGATTCATTTACATCCAACTGCGAAATCCTGAATAAGAATCTAATAATAGAAAGTTGTTAAGTTATAACAGGTTTATGGGTACTAGTACAATAAAAATAGAAGCGTTCAGAAGCTCATCCTGAAAATGAGGCACTACAAAGTTATCGTGGCACGCTTATTTTCTCTTATACAACGCTTCTTCGCATTCTACAAAATATGCTGATTTTGTTCATTAACGTCACTGTCAGCATTGTAAAGTCTTAAAGTAACAAAAGTAGAAAAGTTAAGATGCACTGTAAGAGATTTACTGGAAACAATTTAGATCGCCCTTCGTGTTGGATTATTCCATGAAAATACAATTAGAAAATATGTCTGATAGAGATTGGAGAAGCAGATTATCGGTATGTATTACTGTGAATGTACCATTAATTATAACACACCATCTTTTCAATCCACTAACTCACTAATCAACGAGCAAGCCTGGCTCCCAAAGGTACATGTGAAATCGGTTAAATTAGAAACTACTGTCTTGTCACACCGATCATATGTACGAATATAACCACCCGTGTTTGTGTGTTTGGCAGACATGGACAATTAAACAGTACCGAAATGTCAAGGGAATGTTACTGGTTTAACCTTACTTAAGGGGAATCAAAAGAGATTATATCCTAGATGATAACCATTACCAAAAACGAATAAAAATAATTATTTGACCCATTACACCATTTAGATCAGATGACGTTAGAATTCATTGAACCAAGCCGATGATAATAAACATCAAACTTCATAATTGTATACATTGAGATTTTAATTGTTACTCTCGATATAATTCAGTTATTGCAGTTAGTTGGTCGAGTATTTTAAAATGATCTGTTCTTACAAACCGAACGTTAATATCAAACAGTTGTTATTTTTATCAGGTAATATTAATACAATTATTACGCCACGGTCTAGAGTATAGACGACAAAGTTATCAATTGCGAGCAATAAAATCAAACATCAAAGTGAATTTTGATTTTCTCTTAATAGTATTCGTTCGGAGGGACTGATCTATCAAATATGTCTTGTCAGTATGCAATACCAGCCCATCACGTCTAACAATTACCATGTGTTGAACGTTGGTGCACGATAATTGGCTTGTACAGATGATTGCAGATATTTACGACGAAGTACATGGCAACTTAAATGCCTGGTTGACAGAAGAATTACTAATCGTTTCCTTGATTTATATGTCCAAGAGATTGAATGTTGTACCATTTGCGATAACAGCCGCTCTATCACAGCAAGTATTTGCATTTTGCTGAGATTATCTGTTGTGAACTGTTCCTTTAATGGTACCGAAAGATTATTTCATTTTTATTATCTTTAATAATTATTCCCGAACGTTCTAGTGCTGCATTCGAATCAATTTTTGATGAGGTAACTAAATTTATTATTTAATAGGTGCTCATAATTCAAAGCTTATTATTATAGTCTGTCTGGTGTACATTTGTATGAGGTCGAGGCAGTAGTGGTCGGTCGTGGTGGTCTATCGTATTGTCTCGTCTGGATCTTAAACAAGGAGGATATCAAATATTTGGTCAAATCACAAAAATAGTCATACAGCAGTAGAACAGATATACCTGGCGGCGCCTGTCTCTCTCTCTCTCTCCAATTTTTAAGTAACAGTTAGTGACAACGATGCCTGAGGTCCTCAGGCAAGATCACATCAGAGGTTCTGTCCAAAAGTAATGATTGAACAATGACTGAGCCATTCAGAGGCACCTACCGGGCACCATTAAAATACTTGTATTGTTTACAGTCTCAAAACTAAGAATTCTCCGTTGAAATGGTGTCTCGTTTGTACACTTTACCATATTATTGTCTCGATTCGCGACATTAAACGAGACACCATTTCAACGGAGAGATCTTAGTTTTGAGACTGTAAACAATACAAGTATTTTAATGGTGCCCGGTAGGTGCCTCTGAGTGGCTCAGTCATTATTCCATCATTACTTTTGGAGAAAACCTCTGATGTGATCTTGCCTGAGGACCTCAGGCATCATTTTGTTTATAAACAGAAATACACTTATTTATCTATTGCGACATTAATTATACGTTTATTACCATTCATTCACTTGATCCATTATTTTCCATAGAGTAAGTACTAAGTAGTAACTTTCGTTTTTTCGGAGGTTGATATTCTATTTGTGAAAATAGCTAATAGCTGAAATTGTTTGTATAAGGAAGTTACCAGATCAGGTTGTGTAAGATTATTGCGAGGAATGTATCATTTCTAAGAGGCAACTACGTTCTACCTGAACTACCCACAGTAATTTAACCATAGTTTGATGTTTTCATGCCTCCGCGGTTTCGTATTGTTCTCACCACACTTCCAATCAGTTTGAACTACAGTGCAATTGTTTTATTTTACTCTTTGAAATTTAAATAGCCGACTGTAAAGTCAGGTCGGTTCGGTGATATTTATCTTGACTCATTTGACCAAAGTATTGAGTTCATCTCTCTACCTCAGTTAGTTTCCGGCATCATACTTGTTTTAGATTTCATTTGTTTTAATTTAATTTGTATTTATTTCTTGAACAGTGTCTCTCTCAAGGATGTTAAATAACACCACCACATCATTCCTGGATGATCGGTGTCATGGTATTGCAGATCAGAAAACCTTCCTCATCACCATGAACGAAACCATCCCAGAGTTGGATATAGCACTTGGGACTACCTCACTTCCTTTGGGTGTCTTTGGAGTTCTGTCTAATTTGTACATCATGTACGTACTTGGAACCGCAAGTAAACCCATGGTAAGCAAACCTTACTTATCAATATATTATAATATACTAATTATCTATCTTACGTAATATGTATTATGGATTTCAAATTTTTCATCGCCAATAATTTATTGAATTTGTTAGAATATTCTTTAAACACGGAGAAATATATTTAGCCAGGATGTTACCACTAACGTGATAATATTTGTATCACGCATACTTACTCCTAACTTCTGAGCATCACCCCTGATTATTATCATAGTCCTTGTCATTTGTTACTAAAAGCACTATTAACGAAAAGGAGCCCAATGCCTAGATGAACTCTAATTCTTGTTTAAAAAAGAAGAACCAATGCTTACTAACACAATTAGGGTCAAGCGAATCCGAGATTCGCTGTCGTAAGTTTGATTCACGATATCAGTAACTTCTTTCTTGGAAAAAGCGAAATTAAACAAGCCGTAAGTTGTGGCAGCATCTTGTAGCAACCTTGTAGAAACCTTATAGCAACCTCTTATAGCTGTAGCAACCGCTTACAGTTGTAGCAACCGCTTACAGTTGTAGCAACCTCTTATAGTTGTAGCAACCTCTTAATCTCCTATCTGAAACCTTTTTATTTGGCTGTGTTTTATCTTTTTTTCCTACTGAGTGTCTCAATCTAGAATTACATAATATCTGTAACTTCCTATGTGATATCATATTTCTGAAGAAAAGTCTGGGCTAACCGCACATATCACACTATATCACACACACTATACACATATTATCACGAACATTATATACTCGGTCGAACGTGTTAAAGTAATTCTTTCCGCCACATGGAATGTGCGACGAATGCAGAAGTGTAGTTCATAGCCTTATCACATTTCACATTCGTCCGAAGAGTCTTAAAATTCGTGCGAGAAATAGGCCAGTTACTCAATTTATAGTTCGTGGCACACACCCTGGCTCCATAATATGAATGACTTGTTTTAATTCTAAATGAAAAGCTCAAATACCTTAATACGTTAACCGAATAAAAATCACCTTCTCCTCCAAATTCATAGTTAGTTCATCCTGCTAACTGCATGCTGTTTCCTTCCATATAATTCCTTCCCAGAGCGGAGAATAAAATTAAACTTGGGAAGGAGCCCAAATAGTTTCTGCAGCAAATCAGACAGTTTTACCGACAAAATATCACCTTCACTCATATATTTCTAGTTGCTAGTGTTACATATTACATAATGGTTGGTATTAAGATTTACCAGAAAGTCTGACGGGTAAAGTTTCAGAACCAGACGAGTTCGCTGTTTATGAGCATGGCTCTCACTGATTTCATGGGTGGGATTTGCAACGTTTATCTTAGCATAATGATGTTCAACGACTATACTTCTGAAAATTTGTTCGTAAGTAAAGTTGAACATACTTTTTCCAAGTACAATACATTTCAGTAATTTTATACACTTATACCTGGAGGGGGATATTTAAAACATATAAGTGATACGAAAGATTTTATTAGCAGGATCTTTCAAAATACTTGTGTAAATCGTCTTCAGCTTACAATATAATATACAAAATGTGAACTGAATTTTTCGATTTAAATTTCAACAACTCAACGCGATCGTCGCTATATATGTTACATTGTTTTGCAAGTTGTACAATACTACATAATATTGTCCAATCTCCATTAAAAATCTGAAATGAAACTGGGGAAACTGTATAACTAACTCTTATGCCGTTATTATTGTTATCCCCAGGTGCCTATTGCGAACTATGTTATGGGGATGCTATTTAACATCATTGCTATGCTCACTCCTATTCTAATGTGCTTGATAACTACAGTCAGATTCATAGGTATGTGTTTGTTCAATATATTTTATCACAATAGATTTTATCTTCTTCTTCGTAGGGGGCAGTGGTCTTTACTACTAAGGAATAGATCAAAACCACTATAAGATAGAGCATTGAAGCCCTGTGCTTACCCCGGTAAAGTTAATCTGTGAAGAAAGCAAGGTTAAGCCTTGTCCTCTCCACATTTGGTAAAACGTTTTGAGATTTTATCACTCTTAGATGTATTTTTCTCAGTTAAACCATTTGTTGTGCGGTCAACAAAATTTGGTTTAATCAAGTTCACACAGACTAATTGCCGGCTTCATACCACAATATCAAAAGTCGATAAATTGAATTAAGATTTAATAACGATCACTGGGTATGGGCTATTGATCATGATGGCATCCAATTACGTTTTACTCCCTTGACAATTAACACAATCTATATCTTTTGTCCGTACATTATCTTCATTCGTAACGCTAAAATTACCTACCGAATCTTCGAGAAGTTCAATACACAGTTTAGCAAACAGCTCAGTATCATGGACTAAACTGTTACATCAGTCTGTTACAACAGTCAGGTCAATTCTGAGAAAAGTTCGAAGGGCACAATTCAACATGTCCAAATTATCCAAACAGCTACAGCTCACCCTTTAACTGCACACTCTTCAGGGACATTCTTCCCGGAACTTTACAAGCGGCGAGCAACCCAACACACCCTAACAACACTCCAGGGTATGGGCTGGGTTCTGATCCTCTCTCTTAACATGTACATGGCTGTCAACTTCAGGTATTGTTCTGTCTGCTGAATTTTGGCCCAACAACACATTAGTGGTCAATATGTGTGTGTTTAATCATGATTTTTAAACTTATCGTGTAAGACCAATCACAATTTTGAAGATTAAACAAAGTAATTTGTTATTTATTCTCTATCTTACCATGACCATGGCTGTCAACTTCAGGTACAAGTACAATCGACCTTATCCTGATGTGTACCTATCCGGGCAGTTCGCCGAGCTTTACTACGGATACGTGTCTCTCCTGGTTTACTCTATGATAAGTATCCCCGTGATGAGCATTTCCATTGCTGTTAAGCTGATGGTTTTGAGGCAGAAGTCTGTGAGGAGGAGGAGAGGGTCAACACCAGCTGGAATCCATTATTGGGATATCCACAACAAGAAGATAAAAGCGACAGTAATGACGCTGGTATTTGCGTTTTTCTACGTCACATTTTACGGTTTCACAGCCCTTTACTACACTCTCCCCCTGCTGGGTTTGTGTAGCAAGGAGCTGGGAAAAAAGGGGGCGTTCTCTCTCCTGAACAGTAACTACTGGCTAGCTAAAGGAAACATCATGTGGGAGTACTACTTTCACTGGTGGCTGTACTACTCAGCATTTACCTGCTCCACTGTGAACTGTTTAGTGCACTTTGTGTGCAACAGTGCTGTTAAGAAGCACCTTGCTATGTTGAAGATCAGACTCAAGTCAAGGTTTGATTATTATGCGCAGTCTATTTCTACTGAGGGACAGTGCATGGCTGATCCGGTTGAATTGTTGGTTCAAGTGGCTGAGATTCAGAAAGAAAAAGCCAGGAATGGACATAGTTAGCTATGAAAGAATTATCAAGTCATTATTCGTAGATTAAACGAGTACTGCAAGGAGCCGGGAATAGCTGCTATTATTCCTCAACACATGGAAAGAATGCATTTTGATTTGTTATTATTATTATATTATTCAATCCATTTACGAAAATTCAAATACGTTTACATATTATTACGTATAATAATATATGCATTATATATTGACAGCACAACAAGATAGAGGCTTTCACTTATTTATAAATGAACCAATCTTTGTTTTATTTACTGTTTACTAATTAATAAGCTTTGGAAAACTGTCCGTCAGTCGGGACAAATGGCAGTAAATCAGATGCGTTCAGGAGAAAGAAAAGATTAGAAAAGAGAGAGGTAAATCGTAGAACATGGTAACGGCTGACCCAAGCAACAATTTCTGTGCTCTGTTAGTCTGTACAAGTTTGTTGAGAAACCATCCACCAAAGACCACCGGCTGGGACAAGCCCAACTATGATCACTTAAGCTTCAGGCCTGTTAAAAACAGATGTCCCGAGGCTGTCGGCACCAGACCCAATCAAATAGGGCTCAGTTTCCTTAGGGCCAAGGTTTATTATTGCATCCTTACTGGACAGAGTTAACTCATTCGAGTTGCCTCCGTGGCAAGGTGCGTAATTTTTGATCACTTGCTAAATTGTAGAACGGGGTACAATGGGTATAAATAAAATGTTTCCTTGTGTTTCAAATCTGAAAACGAAAAAGAATAATTTATTGTGTTAACATTCAATAGATAACAATAAGAAGTTTAGTTAGATCCTTATTGTTAAAAAACACACTACAATCGTACATTAAAAACTAGTTAAAGTTTACCTAGATCTATTTTATGTGACCATGTTGCGTCTTACTCTTCGACTACATCGATCAGTGCACCGACTACAGCTAGTTTATTAGATATAATTTAGATAATTACAAAATCACGTGACCATTGCATTGATCAGGCAATTAGTCGGGATGTTACTTTCATTTCAGTCTTACACTACTGAACACATAAGAGCATACAATATGAATTATGAAGGTACCACAGCAAAGATTCTTATTTCTGATAAGAGACACACTTATCTAACATGCATTCTAAAATATAAGATATCCTTCCAATCTGTGTTCACCTCACTTTAAATTTACTTCCTTATCTTTACTTGAAACTCTATAAATGCTTTTCATACAAAGTTACAACAAATTCTTCATGTTATGTATCCTGGGTTTGGACAGGACAATACCCGCTTAAAATATTTCCATCACGTTACATAATACACATTAAATGTAATAGATTCGTTGTGTTGTAATTATGTTATATCGCGTTATGTTTCTGATGAAAATATCTAGTGATTCCGAGTATCGCATTACATGTAGTAATGTTATACAGTTCTACCTTCGCATTGAACAGTTCTTTGTTTTAGCAGCGTATATACTTGTTATACACTGTTGTAGTTATTAGTTAATCTTACATTTTCATCAGACTTTGTTGACTACCGAACAGCCAATAGCCATGGTCCTTATCCTATACCTTCACGACATAAACTCCTTTTATTTTCTTCTCAAATTACTTAGCTGACTTAATCGTATTTTGAGTACCGCCTGTTGGAAATGATACTCTATGTAATATCACGTTACATTTCTTAAGAAATAATTCATTTCGCAGTAATTCTTATCATTTATAACGTGAATCATGATTCAGCTGCTGCCCGAAAATATTATTACAAGTTTACAAATTGAATTTGTTAGTCTCTTCCATAGTCATCTGACGGGCAAGTCTTTTGCAAGGCCTGAGCTGTGTTGTATATATTGTTTTCGCAGGACGAATTCGCTTAATTCGCTGTAACTGATCCGTTTTTTAAATATATTAGCATGAAAAGTTCAGAATCGTAATTTGACTTTATTCTGTCCGATAGATTTTGGATTTGGGCCCGACAACAAATTAGTGGCTAATATTATGTGTGTTTAATTTTCAAACTACAAATAGTGAATGTTCTTGAAAATTAAAGTTTTGTAATTTGCACTAACTCTCCTCATTATACACCTTATTTAGGATGTTACTCCTCCTCCTCGCTCTCATTCCCATCGCACACTCTGCTAACATATTCGCTGGTGCAATCCTCGACAAATCTCACCTCACCGCACTCTACGACGTAGCTGTAATCCTGGCAGACGCAGGTCACAACATAACCTTCCTTAACATGGTCTCCGGAGGAATGGACAAGGTAGCTCCACACCCTAACATCCACGGAGTTGATATAGTGGTGTGGGATGGCGTGGATAAGGACATGATGTGGGAGGTATGTGTGAAAAATGTTATCCAGGCGGAAAGTGATGATATGATTAAAGTGTTCGCTGCAGGTTGTTTCGAGGTTTGGGGTGAGGTTTTTAGGAGATCCGCTGGCGTTTTTACGGGGGAGGTAGTCAAGGAGATGTTTAGCAGGACTCAGTTTGATGTTGTTTTAGGAGAGAAGGTTATTTATTCTGGCTTGGCATTACTTGGTACAATAACTGAAGTTCCTGTTGTTGATTTTGAGCCCTGTTGCATGGTGCAGGGATCTTTAAAGATCAATAATCTCCCAATGCTATTAACTAGTTAGCCATCCATGATGAACAGTCGAGATTTTCATCGATCTCCCTCCTTCACGGAGCGACTATCTGGACTGTCCACCGCTTTTAAGATGTTCCCATTTATTCAAACAGGACAACGTATCCTCCAGCCCTTTTTGGAAAAATTCGGGTTCTCCGTTCAGGAAGTTACGGATTCAGTCAAATTATTCCTTACGAACGGTCACCCTGCCTTGACCTTCCCATTTCTTCGGCCTCCAAACAATATCCTTATTGGGTGTGCCAACCTATTGGGCAGTAAAAGCGCTCCTTTACAATTCTCGCCACAAATTTCTCAGTTTTTGAACGAATCAGTTGGGAAGGATGTTGTTTACGTTTCCTTTGGACCATATGTGAAGATGAGTGGAGTTTCCTGGTACTCGCAACTCGTAGAGATTCTTACCGAACTCGATCTCAGAGTCATAGTCAAGGTAGATAAGGAATTTGAGAAAGAGTTCCCCAAATCTGTCCTACCTCTGAACTGGGCGCCTCAAAAAGATCTCCTGAGATCGGGTAAAATAAAGCTCTTTATCAGCCACTGTGGTAACAACGGCAAAATGGAGACTATTTATTACAATGTTCCTGTACTGTGTATCCCTCAATTTGCTGATCAACCCGTAAACGCTGAGCTGGTCAAGGTGAAGGGATTCGGAGAGAGTTTGATGAAGGAGGATATCTCAGTTCGAGCTAAAGAAGTAATCGCGGCAATGATCGCTAACCACGGAACTTATCATAGGAATATGAAGAGAGCGTCTGATATAGTTGAGAATGAGCCGGGGAATGCGAGGGAGAATCTACTGTATTACGTGGAGCAAGTGGCTGAGATGGGGAATGTGGACTATTTGGTGAACAAAGTTGCAAGACAGCAGAGTACGGTGGAGATGTATAATCTGGATATCGTAGTTCCTGTGGTTGTGATTGTTATTGTTGTTGTGGGGTTCATTTTATATGTGCTGTTGAAGTTTTGTGTTTATTTTTCAAGAAAAGTTGGCATGGCCGGTTTCAGGAAGCTGAAGAATGAGTGAGTGATTATATTTCTAATTTTTGATGTTGAAATCGATTATGAGCATATTTTTATTTAAAAATATTCAACCAGTTGCTTTTTATCGGTGTGTAAATGTATGCTATTACCATTTTTCTTCAACCGTTATTTTGATGATTAACCTTATTTGGTATTTTCATTTTTATGAGACCCGTGGCCGCTTTTGTTTCAAATTTCCTGCTCCGATGAGGGGAGCAGAGCCACTCAGACATGGGCACCGCATTGTGTAAATTATTTAGCTACATCTTATGTTATGTAATATCTTTGCTGCAGGATTAGTAAATACCGCGTGTCATTCAGTTTATTTCTAATAATAGAAACAATTTTAAAAAACAATACATAAGATGATTAGTTACTCAGAGTGATTCGATTAGAAAACTAAATCTTCTAAAAAGCAAGATGAATACGTAAGTAACCTTGACGAGGTCCTGTTCAGAGTTGGTCCTGGAGTTGATTCCACTAGCTGACGGTGACACCTCCGGTGATAACCCTTCGGAGATACGCGCTAAAATACCTGGCATTTATCGTGGAAAATAAACTTCATTTTGTGAGATCGCGTGTGAGCCATGTACTCGGAACATTATGGGATAATCTTTGAAGAAAGTACTCAACGTGACCAAATTAGGAGATGAATATTCACATAATTAGATAATTAATTACCGTTCTTAAATTTTCCCTTGTGGTATCTGAACTTCAGTACCCCCTCTTGTTGATGTTCCCCAGTGTGAACATGACGCTTGAGCAGGAGTGTGCGCAGTTGCACTGCCACACTGCTCGTGATCAGAGCACGTGACACTAATCTGTCAAGCGTCATCTCTGGGGAAGCAATAATTAGCATAAATAATTAATTAATCCTTGATTTAATTAAATAATGATGACAAGCATGGATCACAGTTTTAAACAGTGTTAAACAGTGTTAAACAGTGTTAAACAGTGTTAAACAGTGTTAAACAGTTTAAAGCACAGTTCTAATTATTTAGTTATTACGTTCATCACATTATTATGAAATTACGATAGTGATGACGCACTGTAAAGTTGTACAGTTAAATAACATATAATGTTGACCGTGCGACTGAGTGTCAGTGAAGAACATTACTTGTAACAATTTCATCACTCACTTCACGCCTCTAAATACATTTTCTATGCAAATTAAACAATGGAGTTGAAGACGATATTATACACAATATGTATTTTGAAAGCTTCTGTTAATAAAACCTTTCGTATCATTATATGTTTCAAGAACCCCCTCCAAAAAGAGTAAAGGAATTAAAGTTCTGGCACATTATATAATATATTATAATGTTATATAATATAACATATTTTGTCAAGTTAAAAGTTTATATTATTGTCAAAAGGTTATACGCGTTGAGAGGCGTGAAGTCAGTGATAAAAATTGCCCCAAATTAAAGGTTTAAAAACAATTCTGCCAAAAACCCACCAATCACTGATTCGAGGTTAAATGCCTTCATTCCCAACAACACGGTTCCTTGAGAAATGCACTTCCTCAGTGATATTATAGACTGGAGTTTGAGTGTGGCTACGTGAGGTTTGCTCCATTTGTCGGCTCCTCTCTGGATGTCCTGAGAGAAGTGGGGAGTGGTCATCTTTTATCTTTTACTCTAAGCTTACGTTGAACTTGTTCAACAATAAAGTTTCAAGTCAACTCCTAATGCGTATATTAGGTACCAAACAATAAATAGGTATCAATAAGACATGAACGAATATAATACCCTTTCGCCTTTGGGGCATAATTGTCTGGGATCAGGTTCCGTCTTTTTTGTCAAAGTTTGGAGGGAATAAGACCGGCGGTCCGATGAAATTCTGTTATTTTGGCCGATGAAATTCTGTTATTTTGGCCGATGAAATTCTGTTATTTTGGCCGGTAGATTTTATAGCGATAAAGAAAATATTTATAATAATTATCCTTGAAAAATTAGAAATAATTGCCAGCAAAATATTTTGTAGTATTTTGCCCTTCTAAGAAGGGCAAATAACCTATTGAAGTCGAAATATGCAAACCAACTACCCAAGGCTACTTAGGAAAGTGAACCTACAAATAAAAGTATAAGCTTACCTGCTCGAATTTCATCCATCTTGCCTTTTCCTCCCAAACGTTTTCCCCTCGTTCGAAGACCAGTTCATCAAGCTCAGAAAATATCTGGTGGAAAGTGGGACCTAAATTTATCGACCCAGTCGTGGATTTAACGTACTGACTACATTAAAGATTTAATTATGTATGTTATGTGAATATAAAATAAGATAATAATTATATTACACGTCCCGGCACTGTTGTTTCTAACTGAACACTTTTGAACCCTTGTTTTTGCGGACAATTTCCATGAAGATTACATTAAATGTAGATGACGTCACAAATATCTGTCCATAATACAACTGTACACTATTATCTTCGTGCGTTTCTGTGTGTTTATCTGTCCATGCGTGTGTCTGTCAGTCATATTAATTATACCTGATGGACAGAAGGTGTGTCGGAGGTATTATATACCTGGTGGACAGAGTGGACTGTGTTCTGGTTCTTCTCTTCCACTTCCAATTCTCTATTCTTTACATACTCCACCGTTTCTATGTCCGGATCGGAACTTATCACTGCAAAGTTATATTTGGTTAGTTGTAAGATTAAGTCTTGGTTTATTTTAAGATTTAAACCTTCTAGAAAGTTATGTCTTGTACTTGCGGTTATTTTTATTTTAAAATTATTTTTGAGGGACCGGAAACCATGCTTGATAAAATTTGATCATGCGAGATAAAAGTAATATTGGCTGAAAGTACCGTCTTCAGAATTCTCCTCCGGAATAGAGGCCGGGATCGAGTCAATCGTCTTAACGCTGCTCTTTCGAAAATTTAGCTTCGAGCATTTTTCTGCGGAGGTGATCGCATGATCAGTATAAATTATGTTTTCACTAGATCGAGTAAATGATCATTAACTCTTTGAAAGCCTCACAGTCACTACTTTTTTTATTGAACATTTTTTTCGATACAGTATTGCAGGATGAAAAGTAGACCTTAGCGGCTTAGCTTCTACGTATTAAATTGTATCATAAACTAATTTATATACTATGCACCATTTCAAATTGATTTGGTGCCTTGGCTTGAGAATTGGCATGCAACTCCAGATACGAATGTGATTACAGACATAACAGTTGACTGGCTACTAGCCCTTAAAATCCTCACCATAAACACCACCACTAGTTATTCGCCACATGATTATTGCAAATCATCGGAGTCTTAACACCACGTCATATTTGCCATCAACAAACCAGGGGAATATGGGTCATAACAAGGTCTGGGTAGGACGACCCAGTCTTCCAAATCATCTACCTTGAATTTTAGAATAAAGAACTGTGAATCTGTGAACGGCAAATATTTAGCTGAAGTCTTGTTAAAATATCACGTGACTGATGTGAGATGTGATGGTGGTGGTTTGAGTGAATAAGTAATATAACATAATGTCTTGTTACAACTTTAAAAAACTGGTGTTGCAGGGTAATTGGTGTGCGAATATGGCCGTTTAACCTTTTTAATAGTAATCAGTTTAAATTAGCTGTTTAGTAGTACACTGGTATACTCTGGTATTCGAAACATTTAAATAGCTATTTAACTCTAGCATGTTCAAGAAAATATTATACTGACAAGGAAATATTAACAACAAACTATACTAAAAGAAATGCAGAAGCACAAAATAGCCCGATAAACGACTTACTATGTAAAATTAATTAGAAGATTATAATTCAACAAAATTATCACAACAAGAGCATCATGGAACGCCACGCACTTAGTCAACAGCAAACCTTCTAAACCTTCTAGTTCTAGACTTTCTTAAATAATAGATAAATAAATAATTCAGAAACACCCTGACAGGAACATAACAGAAATGATTTGATTACATATTGCATAAACATTAATCAGGTTCCTAAGAATAATGTTAAAAATAAATTGAACTACCACAATTATATTTATATTTGGAGCGATTTACATCTTAATTTGCATTTGTTCGTTAAGTTTCGTTGTAATATTATATATACTTAACTTATGAGGTTGAGGACTAGCTTGTCCCCGGAAATGTTTCCGGAAAATTTAGCAAGGTAAATCAAACTTGTGCTAGCAGGAATTTATTATGCCAATTTAGGTATCAAAAGGCGGAGTCTCATAAATTTTGAGTAATAGGCTTACAGAAATGAAATCTAGCAGTGAGAAATGAAGTAAGTTATTAAGAAAGGGGTTGTCTCCCTAATAAGCCGCCGATCAGGGGATATACTTCTCCAAATACGAACTCTCTGCTGTGCTGGCGCAATGGGGTGGTCAGAAGATGTGATGGCCCTGTCAAGTCTTGACGAAACTAAACATAGAACACATATCCATTGAGTCAAGGAATCAGTAAGCATCAGGATTTAACACACTCATAGGTTACCACGTCTCGTGTAAAACATAGGTCACATAGGTAGGTAGGGTTCTTATAGAATATAGGGTCGTTATTACAAATATCTATCAAAATATCTATAGAGCATTATATGAGGAAATGCCTATCCCCTTTGAGATTGTAAAAGATGTCAGAAACTTTAGTGAAAGAACTTTAGTGATGAAAAATAGAACAATAGCGGCAAACTATGGATCCAGAAAGGGTGTACTAGAGAAATGAGACTCTGGGAATTTTCGTAAACACACTTTCAAGAATTAAATCAAATAATAAATAAATAAGGTAATTATTGTAAAATATGCCCATATATGAATGAACTTAATCAAAAGAAATTCGATATTAGCTGCAAACATAATATAATTATAATAAAGATTACAATCAGCAAACTACGTTACGAAACTTGAACGGTTATACTGCAACACAAGAAATGTCCCGAACCCAAGGAACAATAAGTTACTTCCTAGATAGTAAACCCAATCAGTCCCCACCTCATAGGTCCTGAGTCAAGTTAGCGGAAGTTTATTTTTCCGGGAGTTTCCACAAAAATATTCACAATTGAGGTTTTAATCAAATCGGATACAAATTTTATGACTAAGTGGTATACCAAAAAAACAGAAAACGAGCACATACACACCCAATTATGTCAATTAGCCACCTTTGCTATTGAGTTATCGGTAAAAATTGTAAATCTTTAATTAGCAGCGTATAATATGTCCAGCAGCGCACCCTAGCTCGGCGCTCAAATATTTTACAATTCTTGACTGAGTTTTTAAAATTGGGATGGATCATGGTGACCGTAACAATTGTAAGGGTTGTAAAAACAAGCAAGTGTAGCGAACTTATTGCTACACTGTACAACAGCAGCTGTAGTCTGTAGCCACAGTTCCTTTTAAAAGAGATCATATACGTTTACAAACAAATAAAAGGCTCGGTTTCATGTATCATGAAGGCTTTGTGCATTACAAATTACAATACAACAATTGTATACAAAGGATGCCAAAACCACGTACGCCCTGTCGTAAGATGGCACCACTGACTAGTGACCACGCTTCAGCGTTTCATTGAGATGACAGAATTTCACTAACAAGTTATTATGATACTCACTGTCACAGTTGTTAAAATTTAAATACCATTCATTATGACAGAAAGAGAGAGAGAGAGAGAGAGAGAGAGAGAGAGAGAGAGAGAGAGAGAGAGAGAGAGAGAGAGAGAGAGAGAGAGAAAGAGAGAGAGGGAGAAAGAGAGGGAGAAAGAGAGGGAGAGAGAGGGAGGGAGGGAGGGAGGGAGGGAGGGAGGGAGGGAGGGAGGCAGGGAGGGAGGGAGGGAGGCAGGCAGGGAGGCAGGGAGGGAGGGAGGGAGGGAGGAAGGGAGGGAGGAAGGGAGGGAGGAGGGAGGGAGGGAGGGAGGGAGGGAGGGAGGGAGGGAGGGAGGGAGGGAGGGAGGGAGGGAGGGAGGGAGGGAGGGAGGGAGGGAGGGAGGCAGGGAGGCAGGGAGGGAGGCAGGGAGGCAGGGAGGGAGGCAGGGAGGGAGGAAGGGAGGGAGGGAGGGAGGGAGGGAGGGAGGGAGGGAGGGAGGGAGGGAGGGAGGGAGGGAGGGAGGGAGGGAGGGAGGGAGGGAGGGAGGGAGGGAGGGAGGGAGGGAGGGAGGGAGGGAGGGAGGGAGGGAGGGAGGGAGGGAGGGAGGAGAGAGAGAGAGAGAGAGAGAGAGAGAGAGAGAGAGAGAGAGAGAGAGAGAGAGAGAGAGAGAGAGAGAGAGAGAGAGAGAGAGAGAGAGAGAGAGAGAGAGAGAGAGAGAGAGAGAGAGAGACAGACAGAGAGAGAGACAGAACAGAGAGACAGAACAGAGAGAGAGACAGAGAGAGAGAGAGAGACAGAGAGAGAGACAGAGAGAGAGAGAGAGAGAGAGAGAGAGAGAGACAGAGAGAGAGAAACAGGGTTCCTTTCCTGGTTTCAGTATTATGTAATTTAATTTTCTGAGGGTATGTATAGTCTTTAAACTTCTTTGTTGGATATTCTTAGTGTGCACTCATATAACTACAATTCAACTACAGTCTACAAGGATAAATTACAGAATTTTATTCTAGAATATTCCAGAACTATTCTAGGATATTCCAGAACTATTCTAAAAAAGTGTGAATAATTAAGCACAAAGTTCTAGCACAGATAATGTTCATCACATCAATCTGAAGTACCAATAAAAAGCGAAGTTGCCCGTGTGTAATGAAATGAGGCCGGTGTGTAGCAGATATTCTGTGTTGGTTAAACTGTAACTGTAATATTATAAAAGAGTAAAGGTGACAACCGTTTTGATCATTAGTTCTTGAGATACCTTGTGCTGGTAGTCAACTAAAAAATACGTGAAAAACGGGGTTATTTCCAGTAATCTCAGGGGCAAATCTAAATTGAAAACAGTATGAATAGTATGAAGTGGAAGAAAATAAAATACCGGTAAACACTCAACACTGCTAAACTGCAAACCAATGAGTGACACGTTGGGTTCAGTAAAAATGTATTTAACCGAGAAACGAATCTTAACATGCTTAAACAGATAAGACATGCTTAAACAGATTATTATATTATCTAGAAAGAGGACTAGTGACCAGTCACGCACATACATATCCAGTTATTTACGATGATACCGAAATGGTAGGGCACTGCTCTGATATCATATAAAAACTGTACTGTCTTCTCATCAGCCCAACCTCAGATAGTGCCTGATCAAAATTTTATGCGTTTCCAGACGACCGAATAATTGCAAGAAAGGCTCGAGTTTCATAAAATTTACACTTCCAAACAATACACAATGGCTGACTTCCGGGTGACACTGGATGTTCTAATCAATAGAAAACACATGACTTTAAATACGTGTAATATAAGTATTATCTAGAGGTTAGTCATGACGCTAGGAGCGTAATTGGTTATGATTAGACAGGTGAAAAGTTAAGAAACCACCACATACCGATCGATTTCTTCCGCTTCTTTTTAAGTCTGCGTTGTTTAGGAGGAGGCTTTAAAAAGCGTAAACCAACACTGTCAGTGCTGCACTCGGAATCAACGATGCACTCAGTTTGGGAGTCTGTACGTTGTTGCGACAAAAACGGTACTTCACAATCAAATGCGACCTCGGCGCTTTTGTATTTGCCCGACTTTATATTATCGTCAATTGACAAGTCATCTGAAATACATATTGGTGTAAAGACAAATTGCAGCCACGACTACGGACTGAACATCCCGTAAACATAATAAAGGGATAATTTTGATAATTTGTCTTCATTACTCGACATTGTACATGATCATATTATTTAAGAATAAACCTACCAAAATACCGGAATGAGGTTAAATACCGGACCTAGACCTAGTTCCCAGAATGAGGTTAAATACCGGACCTACTTACCGGATATGGTTGAGATGGGTCTATTCGAAAAGCAGCTTTGTGAATTATTTATTTGTACCATATGCAGGTTCTTCAGGCATCATTCCACTGCAATGAAAAAGTTAATCTTCAGAATCGATAGTAATATCCTAAATTATAAATTTGATGTTCAAAGCGATATCAGTGGATTAATTTTGGTGAATGTCAAAATTGTTTTTGGAGGATTGAATCAAACCACGTGACTTGAATTCATGTAATTCCTTGATTTATCGAAAAATAGACAGCAAATCGTAAGTATACACTATACTGCTCTGTTTATATATAGCCACAACAAGTCATACTTTAAACGACAAATGTCCATTGTAACACTGCTTTCACTTTATAATTAACTAGAAAGCCCGTGGTCACAGGGAGGAAGTTACTAGTATTCTTTGGTAGTAAGTTTTTATCGCATCAAAAAATATCCGTCACAACCGAGTATACAGCCAATTAAAATGTTGCTCGCACTGATAACAACGTAATTACCACAAAACCGATCAAAACGTCGATGACAAATATTTGCACATGCACGTGTGCTTTTGAATACCGTTACCATGGTTATTATGCAGCTTCCTATTTCTCATAAAATATGCACGTTGGCGGTCGTACAGACAGACAAATATAATCTTTCGAATTATAAATAAGATTAGAAAGCCCGTGGTAACAGGGATGAAGCTAGTAGTTTTCTATTTCTTTGGCAGTCAGTTTTTATCGAATCAAAAAATATCCATCACAACCGAAGCTACAACAGATTAAGATGTAGCTCGCACTGTGTGTGTGATAACCCTCGTTACCATGGTTACTATGCAACTTCTATTTGTTTACCTAATTGGCACGTGGGCGGTCGTACAGACAGACAGAAATAATTCTTTGAATTATTATACGTAAGTAAGATTTTTATACTATACTGAAAAAAATTTTACACTGAATAGACATAATGATTCACGACCAACAATATTAACATCCAGTTATATTAGTACTGAACCTGATAACCAAGTTTTCTATAAAAACAAAAAACATCTTAAAATTGTATTATTAAGAAATCGGTCTCTGATTAAAAAACGTATAAAAATAAACATTCACTGCATATTGCACATATTCAAATTCAAATTGATTAAAAATTGGTTCTGAAAATTAACATTATCCCGTTAAAACTAGAAAATCATATCATCTGCTATAAAACAGGTAAATTCATAAATCAAACATAAAAATTACAATTGACATAGAAACAATCCCACACTATATCGATAATTATATCATGCAAATATAATAAAAGGGATAATCTGTTCGTCTATAATTTAGTCCTATCAAACATATCAACCCACACCGTAACAGTTCCATCCAAAGATCTCGAACCAGTAATAATCTTGTCATCTTCTGTAGTAATACCGCACGAAATGAGGTCCATATGAGCTTTATCAACACATCTTTCAAAAGACCTGGTCACCAAATTGTAGACAATCAAAGAACAGTTTCTGGTGGTTAACACCAGATGTTCCTCCCCATGCAGTATCATGTTGTAGAATGACTTTTGGTCACATTCCTCGATCGTGTTGTGAATGTCTAAATCTGTAAGATGGATAAACGAGTAGGATGAGAAGCAACGTATGGTATCCAGGGAAGCTTTGTCAATGCCGTATATATGCCCAAGCTCTTCACTAACCACAAACTTTGTCAAGGTGAAACCAGTTTCATGCAACGCAAAATCACTGGAGTCCGAACAAGCGGAGAATCCATTTCTAACTGATTGGAGTAAGTTGTTACCACTGACCTGAACTGTGAAGATGTAACTCTGGCAATCCTGGATGGATCGTGTCATGCTTTTTGTTTCAGTGGACCAAATAGAGGTGAGGCCATCCATACTTGTGATGAAACAGAATTCTCCGATTCTTTTCATACTCACTATGTGATCATTATGATTGAATAATGGCAAGGTTTGGTAGTTGTCAAATGAGTCACATTTCATTATATGAAGACTTCTGGACAGACTTCTATACTTCACAGCTATCCACAGGTTATCGTCAATCAGCAGAATTTCGTATAATGTCCAATTCTCATTATCAGGGAGCATCATCGAAATGTGATCTTCAACATCGAATGAGGACATGGAGACTTTGTGCAAACTGCAAGTTCGGGTGCCAATGTACATATACTGACTATCTGCAACTATCACTTCAATGGTTTCTTTTATCTTAGGGTTAGGACTGAACTTACAAAGAATATTGTCAAGTCCACAGTGCACATTAGAAAAAGTTGAAATGCTGCGATTGGATGAAGAGTTCATTTTCAGCTTTTTCTGATATGTCAGGAAACCAGAATGTTTAACTTTTTCAATAAAAAAGTTACTAGACGAAGCATCTGTTTCCACCACCTCTGACATGTCCAGTAACTCACCATACTTCAACTCATATTGATGTAGAGAGTCAAATATCAAGATTGCAGCCCTGGCATCAACTAAAATAGTATGATCTTTGGTCTTTTGGAAGCTATTTGTTGCACTTATCAGCTCTTCCAAGATTAAGCACCATCGAGTAGTATGTTTTATATTATATATTTCTTTAGGCTTCCTAGACCTTGACTGAAAGCTCATCTGGGAGCAGTTGATGATTTTGATATCTGTCATTTCATCAATGTTCATGAAATCACAAACTTGCTGAGTGACTGTGTCCACAAAATATAATTTAAAGATGGAACAGACTAAATGCATACCAGTATCACATTTGGTGTCCTGTTCAGAATATTTTACAAGCTTTTCTTTTTGACTGATGATAGGTAAATATATCCTTTTGTTAAGATATTTTCTGAGTCCACTCCATATTTCACAAAAGTTTTTCGCATCTTGTCCCAAAACTTGATCTGAATCAGATTTTAAGGCAGTGAAGATCTGTCGAGCAGTTCCATGGTTTCTAGTTATTCCCATCTCCAGCATCAATTCTGGAAATTCAAGATGGTTGTAATTTCGATCAGATAGTTTGCTTTTCATGTAGTTTTCAGGACCTAATTCCATAGTCAATGGAGCCCACACGGCTTGTTGCATGAAATTCTGTTTCATTATCTCACTGTACAGATTAGGAAAATTCTCTAATTTCCTGAGCAAATTCATGACTTCAACAGCAGGAAAATTTTTCACTCCAGCTTCAAATATCTTGTTGATCGACTGAAAAGCAAGAATTGGTTCTTCATTATTCAGAAGCAATAAAGCTCTTAGGTAGAGCAACGATGATTTATCTGACAGTCTGTCACTCGTTGTTAGTTTTAGCTCAACAGATTTCAAATTATCATCAATTGAAGGAGTAAATGTAATCAATTCATTGCAGCGTTTGTTTAACTTGATTTCGTTGAGAACATGTTCAATTGGCTTTTTCTTTAGTTCATCAAGTAAAGCAAAGTACTGTCTTTCCAAATATGGATTATTATACTTTATTCTCAAGTTTGACCTCATCATTGTATCCTTGAGGTGTGTTTGAAGTGGAGTCAATTGGTAGCCAGAATACTCCGTTAGTTTGTTAAGGCTCATCTTCTTCTTGGCACTCATTTGAAATGTTAGAAGGCCTTTATAAATATCAATCAAAACATATTGCAGTGCCAAAAATATTCTGACATTGAGGAGGAAATCAAACTCTTCTTTGGCCTCAGTGTATTCTTCTTCTCTGTCAAAGATGTTGCTTATAGTAGTGCAAAGAAAGTTGAAGGATTGTCCTGGCAATCGCTCCTTGAGTCTTGCTACAACTGTTAGATCAACATTGTGGCGTGTAGCTTCGCCACAGTAACTGATCGTTCCATTGTCGATGTCAATAAAAACAATTCTTCTTCCCTCATGGTCCTCCTCCAAAACACTTCTATCAGCTCCGAATATGAAATATCCCATTGCATCCAGCATGACATAAAGATTTTCAGTCAGCAAAGGGAAGTATGGAGCCAGCCATTCAAAGGGGAAAATGCAAGAAAGAAAACATTCCATAATAAGAACACGGGTTGAAGGGTCTTTGCTGACAAATACAAGTTGTTGCTCACTTATAATAGCAACAATTATTTCAACAATAGATTTGTGATCAAAGAACATGAATGGTAATGATAATGGGGCATCACTGAAACCAGCAACAACTTGACAATGAAGAACAAATGATTTGTCTTTGTATCCAAAACTTACATCCAGAGTACCTTTAGGTGGAACAAAAACTTTGGAAAGAATCACCAACAAGTGTTGAACTTCAGTCTCATTCAATTCATCATTCTTCAAGTGTGAGTTTAAGGATTGAAAAATGTCTCTCATCAATATGAAGCACTTGTGTGATGAGAAAAAACACAACTTAGTCATAGAAAACATACTGCCATCTGAACTTTTATCAGGAACATGAATCTTCACAGGAAAACAGAGGCAATACATGTACAGACGAGAGCCCGTTTCATCAGTAAACACTCCATATTCTATTTTGATGTCTGGCTTATTTGAAGAAAGTTGAACACCGTATGGAAAAAAAAATGCTGGTAAGCTTTTCAATGCAGACCATGATATGCTGTTTGATATACATAGGTCTGGATCATCCTGAAATTCCCTTACAATCTGCTCTGATGTGACTACAGATAATAATGCACCCGCACCAGGTTGAATCCCATTATCTACTTTTGATATGTCATCACCAGGCTGAATGCTTTTGTCCCATACTTTACTTCCAATAATTGCGCATACTTCACTAAGAGGGGCTATACATAGTTTGTTCCCATTTGACATAACACTAGAAAAGATAATGTTGAAATGATGAAGATTAATAGCCTAAAAATCGTCAGATGTCATTACATGGTACAGTCTATCAGTCAATGCCCAATATGATAATAATAATGATAAACATAGTAAGTCTTCTGTTATTGATAGCAGTGGCGTAACAAAGGGCCCAGCCAACCCCGCTGTGTAGGGGGCGCCATCTTAGGGGGTGCCAAATCGTCGTTTGAATGTGGGACAATTAAAAAAACTCAAGGCCTGAGGGGGGGGGTGGGTAAATGCTCAAAAATATTTACAAAAATATTATTCTTTAAATAAATTCATTTTTTATGACAAAAATTTTGCTGCCATTCACATATTTGTAACTGCTTTACTTTTTTTGATAAATGACGTTAACCGATTCATACAAAATTAACGAAACAACATTGAGGTTAATAAAATTGAGGTTAAGATGTTATTGCACTTCAAGATTTTTTGTTATTTTGGTCAGCAAATGATACGGGTATCGGCTTTACAAAATGACAATAAAAGAAGAAGGCTCTGCAAAAAAAAAGAAAAAGGGGGGACCCCCAACCCATGTAGCTGAGACACCTCACAGCAAGTAGACCAACGTGGCTCTTGCTTGTGAAAGGTGTGTCAACTACCCGCCGAGGCGGTGGGTTGGGAGTCCCCCCTGGGATCATTTCGTCCGTAAAATTTTACACAATATAAAAGCTACAATAAGGCTCTGCAATGCACAAAAATGAGTTTTGTTCGAATAGTCGTTCAGGGCCAGCTAGAGAACGGGTTGAAAAAGTCACGTGACAGTCGAGTGTAGAGTGATTAATCATCATCCTTCATGTTTTAGTATCCAGATAGGTAGTTTTACAAGTATATTCTTTTCCCGGGAGTTGGTTTGATTGAAAAACCTAAATTTGGCAATAAAAATTGTCATATTTGAAATCTTCTAAAAAAATGCCCTACAAAATAAAAATTTCGGCACGGCTGTCCATGTCATTTTTAACACATAACAGCAGCCTATAGAATTTGATTTCACCTAGGACAGCTTTAAATAAATATAATAGATTTAAGATTAGAATAGCTTTTACAGGAAAAATGATGATTTAAAAAATTGGGCAATTTGGCATGAAATTGGAAAATAGTGCTTTACAAAATGACAACCCAAAACGTTGTAGGTTTACAGCCTACCAGGATCGGACGCGCGCCGAGTTGGACTCTTGATCGACGGTCCTGGAACAAATATTTTACGAGTATCACCCGTTAACCCAAAACGGCATCACTTTGAATCCGGTTGGGGAAAAAGTTTCATTATTCTTTCACGTGTTTAACTGTTAGATATATATGTTGTAGCGCAATGCACTACTGGGTCGCGCGCGCGCGCATTAAATAATGCTTCTCGTATTAAATAATGCTTCTCGTATGCTTCTCGTATGCAGATCGGCGAGATGCGAAGGATTGACATGATCGTGAATCAAATATATATGTTGTTTATATTACATTGATACATGTTTCGGCGGCGCGCGCAGGGCGCGCGAAAAGTGGCATGCAATGCGTATGTCAAATATTACACTTGATTCACGATGTCAATCCTTCGCATCTCGCCGATCTGCATATAAGTTGCGAGAAGCATTATTGGATACGCGCGCGCGACCCAGTAGTGCATCGCGCTACAAATATTACACCAGTTTTGTTTTTACCAGAATATATTAAAAAAGGAATATTTTGTATGTGTATACTTAGAAAAAATTGAAAAAATGTCATTTTGTGAGGCAAAAAATCATTTTGTGAGGCAAAAAATCATTTTTTGTTTTCATACTTGAATACAGGTCACAGTATTTGGTTTTATTGGATATGTTCTATGCCTGGATAGATCACTTTTCCATTTTCAGTGTTTAGTTAACGTTTGACATATTTTAAAAGTTATTACTCTCTGCTTTCACAAAATAGAAGCTTTATTTTGTTGAGTTTTAAAATGTTTTTAAAACTTTTTGATATCAGAGCTGAAAATTGGGCGATTAGTTTGTAGTTTTGGCCTTTATACGGCCTCTAAACTTGTCATACGGAAAACTGTCTGCCATTTTTTCCGATTCTTGGAATATAGTTTAATATTTCATATCCCTTTTTAAATGGTGATTATGTTATTTAAAATAATCTTATCTTAACTTCAGACAGTGTTTCGGAGGGTGACAGTTCTTTCTCTTAAGTACACCAAGACTTCTTTTGAGATGAGGATAAGAATTAGGACCGGTGTCCAGCTTTCCCTGTACGATGGAAGGTAAGTTATGTTTATCTCTGAGAGCACGTTTCCTTGATGTGTGTAGTGGATTTTACCCCTGTAGTGGATTTTTGTTCCGGGGTAGGTGAGACATGTTTTGGTGGTTAAATAGTTAGTACCTGTCTCAAACCATCAGAAAAACCGGGTTTCGACCTCTTGACCCACTCAGGCAACTCCCAGGGGCCACGCCCATTCCAAAATTACTCAAATCTAGGACAAATCAAGACTGTAAAATTTTACCCCTGTAGTGGATTTTTGTTCCGGGGTAGGTGAGATATGTTTTGGTGGTTTAATAGTTAGTACCTGTCCCAAACCATCAGAAAAACCGGGTTTCGACCTCTTTACCCACTCAGGCAACTCCCAGGGGCCACGCCCATTCCAAAATTACTCAAATCTAGGACAAATCAAGACTGTAAAATTTTACCCCTGTAGTGGATTTTTATTCCGGGGTAGGTGAGACATGTTTTGGTGGTTTAATAGTTAGTACCTATCCCAAACCATCAGAAAAACCGGGTTTCGACCTCTTTACCCACTCAGGCAACTCCCAGGGGCCACGCCCATTCCAAAATTACTCAAATCTAGGACAAATCAAGACTGTAAAATTTTACCCCTGTAGTGGATTTTTATTCCGGGGTAGGTGAGACATGTTTTGGTGGTTTAATAGTTAGTACCTGTCCCAAACCATCAGAAAAACCGGGGTTCGACCTCTTTACCCACTCAGGCAACTCCCAGGGGCCACGCCCATTCCAAAATTACTCAAATCTAGGACAAATCAAGACTGTAAAATTTTACCCCTGTAGTGGATTTTTATTCCGGGGTAGGTGAGACATGTTTTGGTGGTTTAATAGTTAGTACCTGTCCCAAACCATCAGAAAAACCGGGTTTCGACCTCTTGACCCACCCAGGCAACTCCCAGGGGCCACGCCCATTCCAAAATTACTCAAATCTAGGACAAATCAAGACTGTAAAATTTTACCCCTAGCTGTAGTGGATTTTTGTTCCGGGGTAGGCCTAGGTGAGACATGTTTTGGTGGTTTAATAGTTAGCACCTGTCCCAAATGGTGATTATGTTATTTATAATAATGTTATCTTAACTTCAGACAGATATTCGAAGGGTGATACACCAAAACTTCATTTGAGATGAGGATAAGAATTTCATTTTGGACCGGTGTCCGATGGAAGGGAAGTTATGTTTCTCTGTCAGCTCGCCAAATGTTTTCTATCCTTTACTGGTTAATGCAATCGTCAAAAACACGTAAGTATTATGATCTTAAAGAATTCTATAACAGACGCGCGCGGCCCTGAATCTTACAGTGCCTTTATGTCAAGGTGACACCCTTTTCCAGCCATTCCATATAGAAAGAGAGGGCTTAATTCATATTCTTCTACTGTTCTAGCTAGTTTTTGACTACTTATGATGTATAAAGCGAATAGCGTCAGTTAAGTAAGACAGAAAGCGCGCGCACGTACGCGCATATTTTCTTTTTGGTTGTACTGTCGATATTATGTATTATTTATGTCTACTCAAATTTTTCCAGGGAGTCTACTTAAAGATCATGAACATTTTCAACATTCGTCTGAATAAACTGAAGGAACTGTAGCGTAGATATATCTGCAAAGACAGAACATTCTAACTTACTCACCGGATTGGATCGAGCTGTTTTGAAACAAATGAGAAACCTATAAATATTTGTTTTCTTAGAATTGGTTTAACCCCCCAGTTCCATGGCCGGATATTATGCCAAATTATTAGACGGAGGTCCATTTCCCTTAGATCATCTCCGGAGAAGATTCTCCGGCTCCGTCTACTGTATTAGACGGAGATTAAGCTCTCCGGGAATTTCTCGGAGATTAATTCATACAGAATCAACAAAATTACCGTAGATGGTCTCCGGTCGTGGAACTTCAAACCGGAGAAATATCAGTAGACGATCTCCGTCTAATAATTTGGCATAATATGCGGCCATGGAACTGGGGTGTAAGGAATTGCTTTCTTATTTAAATTATTTATAGCGTTGTAGGGCCCTGAAAGTAGATGTTTGGGGCCGTTCACATTACGTAATCGGAGCCCAATCGGAGAGAGAGGCGGTGTTTATATGATAACGTTTGTGTAATTTTAACACAATAACTAACTTGTAACTGTAAAACTGGTTATATAGGGAGTAAGGGGGCTAAAATAGGCTGAAAAGTGATGTCTTAACATATGATCGGAACGACTCTCAGCTGTTTTATTGTAATTGGTGTATCTTGCTCTTATTATTTAAATTTTTAGTGTTGCCATGTAGGCCCTGAAAGCAGATGTTTGGGGCCTCGGGCCATTTACATTACGTAATCATTGAGAAGAGAGAGGCGGTCTTCATATGATGTTTGTTTGTGTAATTTTACGAGCCAGATGTTTTGTGTTTGAGCCAAAAGTTCTAGATATTCTGTTTACCAGTGCACAGCAAGTTCATCGAGTGTAGTATGAACTTTCAGCACATAAGATAAGAACTACTGAGCAGCTGGATAGTTACTCATTCAGATATGAAATCATTGTACATTTGTTGATTCGAAAAATGCTTTCTATTTTGTTCAAGACAGTGTTCACTTCAATTAAAATTAATGGGATCCACTTGATTATCCCCAAAGCAACAAAATGGACAGAAAAGACTATAACAGTTTTGGAAACTACTTCGTAATAAGTGCTGTAGGCGATCGGCAAAATACGTACTCCTATCTCCACGCGCATTTCCAAATATGGTCATGATATGACGTCACACGCATAACAACGGGTTTATTTTGCAAAGTTATTTTTCTAGCTTGTTGCGCGCAGCATCAAAAACAGTTTTTCTGTAATAACTTTTTAAAATGAGAAGCCCCAATTTTCCTCCTGGGGAGGTAACGTTATTTTTACAAGACGAACATTTTGCAAAAAACCGGAAGTCGCTATCTTTTTTACTTCCGAAGTTAGGCCCCTAACGGTTAGGTTTCCTGGGTATGACCCGCCTTACCTGGGGACCTCAGGCTATCATGTTCGATACATGGAACAAATATTTTACGAGTATCACCTAACCCGTTAAGTGTAAAAGTCGCGTAATTTGGCGTAAAATTACTTGACGGATGTTACTCGTAGCTAAATTTCTTTGAAGTATCGCGCGCCGCGCCGCTTTCTTCTCGAAATTTTATGGCCCGATGGCAAGTGTAAGGTGCTACGAAGTAACGCGCGCCGGGCCAGACCATTAACAATGGTCAAAAATTACGCGACTAACTCCTGCTAGTGCTAGCTGCACGCCAGAGGCATGGACTCCCAAAGTATATACGAAATCATAAAATAATAAATATCAATGCAACATACCACTGGAAGTGGAGTCTTGAACCTGTCGCTACCTGGCTCAGAGCAAACCCACTTCCGTTGTAGGCAAGGCCAAGGGACTTCCGCAGACAAGGAACTTCCGAGCAAGGTAAAAGCCAGGGAGATATGTCTCTATGCGAAGATGGGCCTATATAATATATATACTAGGTTGAGTTCCTAGTGTGGGATTTAGCGAAAGTTCCTGGTGAAGAATCCAAGGACGTCACCCAAAAAGGGTGTCCCTATCCAGTCTTGTCGACTGTTCCACAAATTTGAAGATATGGTTGAGTTTACTGTTGTTAAGATCCTCCATAGGGGTTTAACAATTTCCTCATTCTGAGCGTCATGATCTGGATGCGCTTGCAGAGGAGGTACTGGGATGTTTCTGCTTCTCCTGAAAAGTGTTCACAATCTTGCGCGGCGTCTCGAAGTTGACGTTGTTCGCCACGTTCTGAAAGTAAACTAGTGGGCTGTGACCTATCCTGACAGCGGCCATGTTAGCCGTCTGATGTGAGTTCCAGAAAAATGAAAGTTCCTGTATTTATATTTGTGGAAGAACATCTCAAGTGGGATTTTTCTTTGTCGCTGAGTGTGACCAAATTGGGAGGAAGGGTTGGTCCTATGGGGATGTTGTTGGATTCGTCCGCTAGTTCGTTACCGTACACTCCTTCATGTCCTGGAACATCAATTTCTACTCGATGTAAATACCTAGTGAGTTGAGTTGGTCTAAGATGTTCAGAACGAAGCTGGAGTTAAAACTGGTGCTGTTAAGCGCTTAAAATGCAGCCTGAGAATCTGAGAGGAATCGATGATTGATGGGGAACCTAAGTTATCATTAGTCCAGATACTTGCCATGTATAACGCAAATAGCGGGTACGACTTCCTCAATCATCAATGAACCTGAAGGAGGATTGTCTGTCCCATTCTCACCATGTAACGTCGAGCTAACAAATTGAATCCAAATTTTGAGTAATGCATTCGTTAACAGTTAAAAGGTCAACCAACAATATCAAATATAAGATCGTGAAATAAACCATCATAAGACGTTTTATAGTTTTTTGAAATTTGTGGAAGTTTTCGCCCCCGTTCTGTGTATGTTATGCTAAGAATCTGCTGAAGCGTGTGGTGTTTGGTCTGTTGAACACACGCTTGAATAACTGGTATATTGAACCGGTGATTAAACAACGAGTCCCGACTCCCGGATTACCAATGATATAACAGCGCTTACAACTACAAGTCAGTGAAACTAGTAACAATGCGGTCCCACCCCCGCCCTCTGGTAGACGGTCCAACACCGTACGGACCAGGAGTGTTGACACTAGGGGGCTCCCTGTGTAAGGCTTACAACCCTGCTGACATAGCGGCAGATTTAATGGAGTATGTTGACTCTGCTTCCGAGGGTTTCATCTACATTTCATTTGGGTCTGTCCAGAAGGATAGCCCGCCTGAAGAACAGTCTAAATGGATTGAAACCTTTAAATATCTCCCCTACAAAGTAGTCTGGAAGCAAAGCAAACAAGTAGAGAACCTCCCAGAAAATATCAGAGTGTTCCCTTGGGTAGCTCAGATGGCACTGCTCCAGCACCCGAATATAAAACTCTTCAAGTTCATAACACACGGTGGGTATGCCAGTAAAATGGAGGCCATATGTTCAGGTGTTCCCCAACTTGTGGTACCTAAATTTTCATCAGATCAGTACTACACCACCGAGAGAATTGCTAATCTGTACTTGGGCTGGGCGAGCAGATACCTGACCTTGACAACACAACTGCTCCGGAGATAAGATCTAAAATAAACCAGATAACAGGAAGTAATGGTTACTACGAGAAAATGGCGGATGTTAAGCGTCAAATTCTGTTAACTAGAGTGACAGACTTGCAAGTTGCAAGTGTTAGGGTATGTGGATGCGGTGGCGAATGGACATAGTTTCTTGCCAGGGTACCAGCCTTGGTACCAGTATTATTATCTACATATTATCTTTATTCCTACCCTGACAATACCAGTAATCAGGTTCATTTACAAGAGGGTGTTTTCTAAATCAGAGTAATTAATCTGAGGCTGCACTTACTAATTATTGTATAAAATACTGCTTTTATTCAATTATGAAAGTTGAGAGAAGCCTTAAGCTCAGGACTGAATGCTGTTATCAGTTATAGGATATCTCGTAATAAAATTATAATATATCTGTGATTCTGTACGTTAAGTTTAACAAGCCAGCGCATGTCTGAATAATGTGAATAAAAGAAAGATTTTGAATTCATAAAAGTCAAACAAAATAAGATTGCTTCTTTCAATGTGATTTATAAATATTCAAATAGTATTAGTAATTACATTTACAGAACCAGGTGTTAGTCAGTGTAATAAGCGCCAAGCGCGAGCAAAGAACTTTTTTTTCCCGATTTCGATAAATTTGGTACCAAAAGTTGTCTAAAAATGTGAATAAAATAAATCCACCGTGTAGCAATTTTCGGAAAAAATGCTACACGGCGCTTGTTCGCCGCGCGTGCTTTTTTCGCTCAAATTTTTAGTTTTTGGCCTATAACTTTCACATTTTCAATTATTATCACATAGTTATTATGGTATCGTAATCAGCTCATCGAGACGAAACTTTTAGTACTAATATTTTAAGATTTAAAGGAATCTTTTTTCAAAAGTTTTTAATCTGAAATTTGTTGCTTTAAATATTATAATTTTGGTACCAAAAGTTGCGTCTGATTAAGCTCATTACGATCCTGTAAGAATTATTTCAAAATATTCAATATTTTAGGAGTTATAGGCATTTAAAGCAATAAATTAACCATTTTTCGTCCTTTGTACACGTTTGCAATGCACAGGAGGCCCACATACATCTCGACGTTATCGTGCTACACGGTGAATTTTCATTATTCGCAGTTAAAGGCAACTTTTGGTACCAAATTTATCAAAATCAGAGACAAAAAATTCTGTGCCAACTCATGGCGCTTATTACATAGACTATGTGTCAATTGTAGCAAATATAATAAATTCGATTAAAATTTGAAATAATATCCTTTGTTAAACAGGTGTTTCGTTAAAAACATAAAAATACCACTGCGCTAAAAACATTTCTCTTTGTGTATGGGAAAGCATATAGCAAACAGTGATAAAACAAAGTTACCATTTCATAAATAATCACTTCTTTTTGGCTTTTCCTGTTTTCCTTTTCTTAGTGGGTTGAGCATACTTTGCTTCCAACTGATCGAAAAATGATTCCATGTTTTTACCTCTTTCTTCCTGTCTCATTGCTATCGCTTGAAACAACGATTCTGAAACACAAATTACATAAATTAAACTATTACATAAACAATTACATAAATTAACCGTAACTCGTGACTGAAATTGCCCTTTCTATTGTCTACGAAGTTTGAACTGTTAACTTCGCGACAATAAAGTCTCAAACCTTGTCCCCCAAGTTCCTCCTGAGCTTTGGAAGCCTCCTTAGCCTCTTTCTTCCCAGTCCTTTCTCTTCGCTTTCTCTTCTTCGGGTCTTCCTGAAAATGTTTAGTATATAACATATGGGAGCAAATTAAGCTTGCAAATTACCCCATCAACAAAATGAAAAATCTTCGTTTGGAATTTATCTTATTATGGCTGTTGAATTGGGGTCGTAATTGTAAAAAGCGCCACATCGTTTCATTTGGTAGAGTTTTGTTTTGATGTACCAAGGTAAGAAAGAGAAGAAAAAAATATTCGTCATGTGTGTATCTTACTATATATAAAGCGAGACGATATATATGGTTCCGTACCATTTTACTGACACCACGGCATCAACTTTAACGCGACTTTCCGCATACTATAGTATGTATACAGGGCCACAGGGCGTTTTTATTATTCCTCGCATGTAATTTGAGAGGATGACACAAAAAATAGTCACGAAACCAAAAGTGGTGTGGGGCAATGGGGTGGCATTCCACGGATTTAGGAAGCACTCAAAAGGAAAGTTTGCCTGAAACCTCGCACTTAAGGTATATTCAGTAGGACTTATAGGGATGGAAATCGTGCTTAGAGTACAGATCTATCTGAGGTCACTTTATACCGATTTTATTTTTATACACTATCAGTAGTGTCCTCGGTGTGTAATTAGCATATCCCTAGAATATAGTCTATAGGATTTATGTCTCTAAGAAGTAAGAATAATGGGAGGTAGTAATTCAATTTTGAACAGATCTAGATGGTGTACCTGAAATAAGGTACCCAAAGTTGTACTTACAGTAACAATAGTGTTGTACACGTTAATATCCGGAGAAGTCGAATATCAATGGGAAAATAAAAATACTCAAGTTTCATTTTCAACGATGGTACATAATCGCAGTGAGTCACTTGATCGTGTGATCTGTATCTAACCCTTTTATTGGCTTTTTGAGGGAGTTGCAACAAAAATCAGAAATTCTGCTTTTTGGTTCGCAAAATCAGGAATCAGAAATTAGCTATGCCTTTTTTTGGGGTGTACACTGTATGTTCCTCCATCATGTTGTAACCTCCGTCCAGGGAGCGGAGAGATATCACTTACTCAGCAACTACTTGCTATATTTAACTTTTCCAATTTCGGTTATTTGATGCGGTCTCTCAGATTATAATTACACGGAAAAACCTGTTGCAGGTGGGTCTACAATCAATGATAGGACTCAGTATTATAAGTATCAGATAACATTACGTATTATGTGAGATAATGTTATAATTTGTATATCACTTGAAGTACCCGGGACAGCCGGTACCGGACTAGTCCGTACTATTGCACGGTGGAACTTCTTTTGTTCGGTCTCATGTTCTTGTAAACTTATTTATATTTAGGAAGGTTAAAACACTATAGTTTAACTAGCAATATTATACTTTCTGTAGTTCTAAACTCTTAATAATTCTTAACTGTATATTATACTGATAGTGTTGGGCATTGTGGTGGAATAATATGGTATCTCTACTGATCCTCAACAACACCATGCTTAATTTGGTGGGATATTAGGATATGGGTGTATTCGGAACAGTGATTGTGAACTCTACCAACGGAACAGTATTCGGGCACAAAGGGACTTTGCAAGATGAGGTGATGAACTATTCATTTGGAGTGTGTCTGGTTCTGCTCATGCCTGTGGGAATCACCTGTAATCTTCTCGTATTCTGGTACAAATCTTACTCTAAGTCTAATAGAAATGAATGAACTGATTCTCAGTATCGTTACACATTTCTCGGACTAGTCTCCTTCATTCTGACACTAAAAATGATCTTTGGCTTGATAGTAGGAAGTGGATTGTTAAATTTTACTCCTAGTACTACTAAGTTATATTATCACTACTTCATGTACTACAACTTTATTGCAGGTATAACACTGTTAGCTTGAATAGTAAAACTCTCTCCGCTCTCTTCTACCGGTTCCTGTCTGCACCCCACCAGGTAATTAATTACCTGTACGATATAGTTTATAGCTAATTAATCAAATTAGCTATCAGCATCGTGGATTGTTGCTTCAACTGTTGGTCGAGGAGTAAACTGATAGAACATTACCGTAGATATACGCGTTACTGCGACCAGAGCACGAGACAAGGTTCTACGTCACCACACCCATCTCCCTCCCTCTCAGACTGGTATCTCTACTGATCCTCAACAACACCATGCTTGTTATGGAGGTGGTATCACTCCTGGGCCTCGTCAGGTTTAGTATTCTTTGTCCAACTTCGTTATCTTTTCATCTTGTGGGCAATTTAGTAATCCACCGATGGTCGCTTGAGGCACAGTTAACACAAAACAAAGGGTCACTTAAGGGTTGCTCAATTAAGGGCCGCTCAAGGGTTAACTTAAGGGTCACTTAAGGCACGAACACTTAATGTGCCATATCCTAACACCACTATCCCCAGGTTCATAGCAGTAGGGTTCCCACTCCTCTACCGACACTACACAGCGTATATAAAACTAGTCTTCACAGCACTGCTGGTCTCACTAACCCTCATAATCCTGGGACTAAATCTAGACTATTTCGGATATTTCGGGGCAGGTGTGTACTGGATCAGCGTGGTACAGTGGTTGGCGTGTAGCGAGAATTCCACCCCTATCTCCACACTAAACCTCTACATACCTGCCGCTGGGCTGATCCTAGCTGCGCTCACTTCAACAGCTACTGTGTTCTGTTTAGTGAGATCAGATGACAGGGCCGCTCACTCTAGAGGAAGTGTTACTGTCGTGCTTATGAATCTAGGTCTCATCATTTATCTTGCTCTTATCTTCGTAGCGACTGTATACCTTCCGTATGGTAAGGATACTATGCTCAGATATCTGGAGACAGAGGAGTATGAAGTGTACTATTTCTACTACTTTGTGGGAACCTACATGCCCCTTCTTCTTGCAGTTTACAACCCACTGGTAGTGGCTACAAGATGTCAAGGAATAAAAAGTATGGCAGCTAAGTGGCTACTCAGTGTTTTCTCTTTGTGTAGAGTTAAAGTTGGGGATGAAAACCGGTTCTTTAAATATGTGAGGGATCATTTAACCAGAACTCAGCAAAAACAGGATAGTACTTGTGATATATGATCTGAGAGCAAACTTCTTTATCTGATCTGATTAACTTTCAATTTTAGAAATGTATACTGTATAATTTGTATGTATTCGATGGCTGAATAATGAATAATGACCAATATTTTTGAATCATTTCATATCAGATTTGTTTTACACAGAACTCTGATAGTTTCAAATGGATTTTTTGATATTTAAATTTTAATTCATGTAAAGAGATTTTCAATATTAAACTTGCATAGTTGATAGTATCAGTTTTTATTCAGTCGATTGATCCATTTTATTCCTTATCAAATTTATTAATTCTCATATTATGATGGAATGAAAGGTGTCGCCCATTTAAATATTCATGCTTTTCATTTAGTATTAAAACAAGTCCTTCGTAAATTATGGAGCCAGGTTGTGGACTGGCTGCACCTGGTCAAAGCACTTCCATTCCAACACATAATAATAATCAATAAATGTAAGGGGCCATCAGCTACTTAGGAGTTAGGAGGTCCGCCAAAATCGCAGATTTTCAGACCAACCCCCCTCCCCCTGTTCGGGTATCCGAATTTTCAAAACCACCCCCCTCCCACGGACCGCCGGACGTCCGGATTTCTAGCTACTTTTAAGAGTACAAATAAAACCAACTCAAATTCTGGCTGGCGACATGAAGTGAAAAAGGCAGTAGGAGAATATGCGAGTTGTGTCTCGGCTCTCATGAGCTGCTCTGGGAATCGACTTCTCGTTCAAAATAGAGGGATCTAAACTTATAGAGTAATTAGTGTCAAAGAGTTGAAATAAATGGGACTTTTTCGTTAATTCTGCCAAAATTTCCGGACGTCCGGACTTTCAGAAACCCCCCCTCCCCCTGTTCAGATTTGTCCGAAATTCCAAAACCACCCCCTCCCTATTTACCGAACGTCCTAAGTAGATGGCCCCTAATAGATTTGTATTGTTGTGATTAGTCAAATATTATAACTAACAACTGAGGAGCACTAAAAATACAATATTTTCGCTTTACAAAATGCAGGATCAATAATGGTTTCCTTTTTGTATACCCGAGACTTTGATAAGAATGACGTGGGTATCGGTAATGTATAATGGGTAGAAACAAGTAGCTCTGGTGTACATTTATATCTATATTTATACTTGATATTTATCCTGATTCCTGTATTTTCTAAAGTTGGCAATAGTATTCGTTAATGAATAGATACTCAACAAGGGGTTTTGTCTAGATAAAAGACTGTGTTACGATATTCCACGTCAGAGTTACACCCAACCGAAGGAACTGTATTGTTGGTGATCTATCAGCCAAAGCTGCTCTTTTCTTTGAATCTGTTGTCGTTCAGTAAAACCCTGATGTTTCCTCAACCCCAAATTTGATAAATGATTTTTACCATTTCTAAGAGCTATTTGAGCTGGATCACTTTATTTCAACAAATGAGTTGATAACACGAGTTAAATTAAATTTTACAGAGTATAACAATTAGTGATCATAAATTGTGATGGTTCAAAAATATTGCACCCTACAGTAAAATATGATGGGCACCCAAACATTATTCTAATCTCTTTAGTTCTAGACTATCTGAAGTTCAATTTTCAAAACTCTCTGTAATTTTATTAGAGCTATGAGATAATTAGAATACATTAGATAAATGTATGATGATACAAATTCCGTGTGATAGCTATAAGATAATGGTAGAATAAAGAGAGAATGACTCATTAGAAAAAACAAAGAGACATGTTAGGAATCGCTAGTATATAATACTGTTTTGTTGTCGGTCTAGTATGACTTTCCAGAGCTGCTTAGTGACCTCTGTATTTAAAACTGACTGATTTTATCCGTCTTACCTGTGAATGAGGTCCATTAAATGGAATAGGCTCCCTTCACTGATAAGACAGGAAGATTATTATTTTAAATTGATTCAGTAATGCTAGCGGTCGTGCCTATGGCATTGAGATGAGGTTGTAATCAGCATTACGGTTATTGTTGCGCTTTGATTTCCTTTGTCCTGCTATACCATTATATAGCTTAAAGTTGGGCCATTCGATTGTAATGCCATAAAGTGTATCATTTTGTATTTTACCATGGCTATGGCACAGGTGTACCGTTTAATGGCAGATTCATTCAGTTTTTTTGTTAGTTGTCTTGACAATCGTGTTTACTGTTTTTATTGAACAATACTTATAGTGCACTGGTGCAAAATACATTGACGTAAGCTCATATTTCAACAATTGGTCATGATAAATCACCAAACACTGTAGTTCAAATTCTAAACTTTCAAAACACACTGTAGTTCAAAACTATCTGTAATTCTAAATTTTCTGAATGAATTCACAGTGCACCTAAATCATGATTCTGTACTAAAACCTTATAACCCTCCATAGCAGTGGCTGTCTTAGGGGGGCGCCAAATCGACGTTTAAATGTGGGACAATTTCGAAAACTTAACTAAAGTACTAGCAAAACTGCGCGTTTTGCTCTAGATACACACTTTTTTAGAGATTTTACCGGCGTATCCTCTAAAATAACCTAATTTGTTCAATTTTAGGATGGGGCCTGGGGCACTAAAAAGGGAGCTGAGGGGGCGCCAACAGGGGGGCCAACAGGCAACGTTACGCCACTGCTCCATAGTCTATACCGAGTGGTTTTACGTGCGAGGGTTACAAAATTCTGCCTTTAAAAGTTTTAGAGGGCTACCTTATGGGAGATATTGGCCTCAAATTATCAGGTTATTTCAGATTCCAGTGCCATTATTTTGGTCTCGTGAAACCGTTACCATTCTTAATATACTATTTTTCTGGTGCATCTAACTCTTAGTGAAGCATTACCATTCACACATAGACAAGAGTGAACCATTTCATATCTTTCATTTTTGCTGGTGCATCAGCGAACTATTAGTTGTATAAAAGTTATAAAGTTCTAAACTCTCTCTAGTTCTGAATAATTTGGTGGGATATTAGGATATGGGTGTATTCGGAACAGTGATTGTGAACTCTACCAACGGAACAGTATTCGGGCACAAAGGGACTTTGCAAGATGAGGTGATGAACTATTCATTTGGAGTGTGTCTGGTTCTGCTCATGCCTGTGGGAATCACCTGTAATCTTCTCGTCTTCAGGTAGACATCTTAATGAAAATGAATGAACTGCCTTTCCGTTTTACAATTTGCAAACTATTCAAGAATCCCCTCCATTTTGACACTCAAAATGTTATCACTTTATCTTCTGTTTATGCCTTATGAAATGTTTCATACGTGACTACAATTTGATTGCAGGTATAACACTGTTAGCTCGGATAGTAAAACTCTGTCTGCTCTTTTCTACCGGTTCCTGTCTGCACTGGATCTCATGATCTGCTGTTTCAGGACCCACCACCAGGTAATAGGGAAAATTACTTTATCAACTAATTAATTAATAAATCAACTTAAATTAAATAATTAACAAATTAATTTGACATCCGTTTTTACAACGTGTGAAGCTTAACGTTTTCAATATCAACATTTTCTTAGCAACTTTTTGTAGGTAGGCAATGGGGTCGGTTGGGAATTCAGTAGAATATTCTTATCTGAAAAACTATCCGTAGATATACGCGTTACTGCGACCTGAGCACGAGACAAGGTTCTACGTCACCACACCCATCTCCCTCCCTCTCAGACTGGTATCTCTACTGATCCTCAACTACACCATGCTTGTTATGGAGGTGGTGTCACTCCTGGGTCTTGTCAGGTATTAATGTTGAACCTAATGCTTGCCACAGCAACAGGGAATGAATGGGGTCAGTTTTCGTTTATTCAGCTCCGAACCTTCACAAAGGTCCATTTCATACATCCTCAGTTTTGGCACGAACACTTAATGTGCCATATCCTAACACCACAATCCCCAGGTTCATAGCAGTAGGGTTCCCACTCCTCTACCGACACTACACAGCGTATGTAAAACTAGTCTTCACAGCACTGCTGGTCTCACTAACCCTCATAATCCTGGGACTAAATCTAGACTATTTCGGGTATTTCGGGGCAGGTGTGTACTGGATTAACGTAATCCAGTGGGTGGTAAGTAGTGAGGATTCTGCCATTATCTCCACTCTAAACCTCTATATTCCCGGCACTGGGCTGATCCTAGCTGCGCTCACTTCAACAGCTACTGTGTTCTGTTTAGTGAGATCAGATGACAGGGCCGCTCACTCTAGAGGAAGTGTTACTGTAATGCTCATGAATCTGGGTCTCATTATCTACCTCGTTCTTCTCTTTTCAGCAACCCAGTATCTCCCTTTCGGTAAGGATACCATGCTAAAATATCTGAAGACAGGACAGTACGAAGTGTACTATTTCTACTACTTTGTAGGAACCTACATGCCCCTTCTTCTTGCTGTGTACAACCCACTGGTAGTGTCCATGGGATGCCAGGGTATAAAAACTAAGTGGCCGGGAGTGTTCTCTTCTCGTGTAGAAACAGAGTCCACACTTTAGATTATAGATAAGGGATTGAGCGAGGACTCAGCGGAAACTGGACAGTATTTGTGTTAAATTGTCTTAGAACAAACTTGATTATCTTATCTTGGGCCTGTATGTAGCTGGTACCTCTATCACTATGTATAATATGGTTGAATAATGGTCAATAATTTGGAATATTATATTTCAGGATTTGTTTTAAATGTAACTCTAAAAGTTTTAAATCAATATGTTTTAGGGTTTGATTTTTTATGTGCGAACTTGCATGGTATTATTTTTAAATTGTTTTAAAAATAACAATAGCTTCGGGCTTACGCCTTACGGTTTTACATAAAATTTATTGAAAACAAAAGAAGTTTTTTACTTTTCCCGCAGTTATTGTTGTTGCAGGATAAAGTAAACCAGTCTATAATTTGTCCAGTCTAGACGCAGTACATTCGGCTAACTACTACGCAGTACATTCGGCTTAACTCAAGAGAAAGAGTGAGACAACTTTTTCAATAAATTTTAATTAAAACTGTAAGCCCGAAGCTATTGTTATTTTAAAAACAATTTAACCAATTATCAATTTTTAGGTTCGGTTTTTGTAATGACATTATTTGGTTTGATGTTTTTTCCATTACTTGGTTTGATGTTTAAAAAAAAGGGACTACCCGAATTTTAAACAATTTTCACTTAGGGACTTTTCGGGGGCGTTCGAATAGTGTCCACAAACATTTTTACTGTGACACTAAGAATTGTTTAATTTCTTGCGAAATTTGATGCCCAGCCGGTTTTTCGGCGTACTTAACAACGATGACAGGATCTGGTGTCGCACTACACTTACAGTACGTTTACCGTTTTCCACTACCGTTTTCCCACTCGTGTTGTTCAGTTAAGTGTGAATGTAATCTTAATTAGTTAATTGGAGCGATATTCATCCCTACAAGTTTTATTATGTTTAGCTGTCCTGTAATAGTGTAACTCCATTGTAAGTTAGCACAATGAGAGAGACTTTGCGGAGAAACGAGGGGCTTTCATGGCGCCCCAGTAACTCGTACTCCGTTTTATAGATCTACTAGAAAGCCCGTGGTAACAGGGACGAAGCTAGTAGTATTCTTTGAAAGAAAGTTTTAATCGCATCAAAAAATATCCATCCCAACCGAAGATTCAAGATACAGCCGATTTAAATATAAAACACTTTAAACACAACGTAATTACCACAAAACCGATCAAAATGACGTTAAAACAATCTTTGCACGTGCATGTGTGCATTAAAACAGCGTTGCTATGGAACGTTTTGGTTGTTGCCTAAATTCCTATTTCTCATCTGATTTGCACGTGGGCGGTCGTACAGACAGACAGACAAAAAGAATTCTCTGAATTATAGTAGAGACTAGAAAGCCCGTGGTAACAGGGACGAAGCTAGTAGTATTCTTTGAAAGAAAGTTTTAATCGCATCAAAAAATATCCATCTCAACCGAAGATACAGCCGATTTAAATATAAAACACTTTAAACACAACATAATTACCACAAACCGATCAAAATGACGTTTAAACAATCTTTGCACGTGCATGTGTGCATTAAAACACCGTTGCTATGGAACCTTTTGGTTGTTACCTAAATTCCTATTTTTCATCTAATTTGCACGTGGGCGGTCGTACATACATACATTCTAGAAAGCCCGTGGTAACAGGGAAGAAGCTAGTAGTATTCTTTGAAAAAAAGTTTTAATCGCATCAAAAAATATCCATCCCAACCGAAGATTCAGCCGATTTAAATATAAAACACTTTAAACACAACGTAATTACCACAAAACCGATCAAAATGACGTTAAAACAATCTTTGCACGTGCATGTGTGCATTAAAACACCGTTGCTATGGGGACGTGTTCAAACCTGGTTGGTGGTTTTGTTACATTTCTCCCACTCTTTACTTCTGGGCCCCCAGATTGAAATCTGTAACATTTTAAGAAAAACTGAAACTACTGACAAAAACTAGACCCTTTGACTGAGGGCACCCTTGAATCAGAATTTTTGTAACATATTCAGGTCCTGAGATATAGCAGTTTAGTTGGGGGCCCTGGATATTGAATTTTGTAACACATTTCTATGTTACACTTTTTCAATGAGTTTTTAGAGAAGCTTCTTGATATTTTTTCAAGTTCATACCAGTTTTTCTAGGTCACAAAGGGTTCCATCAACCATATTCTTGACCAAATTTTGTACTTGGGCCCAAAACATTGAATTCTGTAACATATTTATGTTTTCACTGCCAAGGTCATATCTGGAATATTCAATATATTTTTGTATTGGTAACATGGTTTTTAGATTCTCATACAAAATTCTGAAGCAATCCTTATTCATATAATTTGATAAAATGGCTGCGGAACTTGAATTATGTAACATTAGAAATTAAGTGTATAGAGTATGTACCCTAGTGTGAGGGGTGTTAGGTAAGCTTAATTATAGTTTTTGAAGTTCATACCAGTTTTTCCAGGTCACAAAGGGTTCCATCAACCATATTCTTGACCAAATTTTGTACTTGGGCCCAAAACATTGAATTTTGTAACATATTTATGTTTTTACTACAAAGCTCATATTTGGAATGTTCAATATATTCTTGTACTGGTAACATGGTTTTTAGATTCTCATACAGAATTGTAAAGCAATCCTTATTCGTATAATTTGATAAAATGGCTGCGGAACTTGAATAATGTAACATTAGAAAGTAAATTTATAGAGTATAGTATATAGTATGTATCCTAGTGTGAGGGGTGTTAGGCAAGCTATATTATAGTTTTTGAAGTTCAGACCAGTTTGCCTAGGTCATAAAGGGTTCCATCAACCATATTATTGACCACATTTTGTACTTGGGCCCAAAACATTGAATTTTGTAACGTTTTAATGTTCCGGTCAAGCATTTTGTACACCAAAATTGTAAAATTTTGTATAAATTACGAGTCAATTGTCACTCTGCCACTTCAGTGGATAAACTCGTGACCTGACATTTTATTGTTACAAATTTCAATATATAGGGCCCAATTTCTATTTTCTATACAATTTGATATATAAATTAAACGTTTTTAAATATCCAACCTTTAATCTAATTAGCTATATTCATTTGATTAAATTTACCGCGTTCTGTCGTAAATTCAAATTACATAATACATTACATTTAAATTGTTACAAAATTCAATAATTTGGTCCCAATTATCATTTTTTAAATTTTCTCACATGGGAAAATACAATGACATTTGACACCACGTGGAATAACCTGATCTATCAACTTAGAACTGTTAAAGTTTCATGTCAATGCTATCCATGACACTGCGTCAACACCTAGCAACCTAAAGCTTTGGAATAAAGCCGTTTCAGGAAACTGTAAACTCTGCAGCAAACAAGGGACACTCAATCATATCCTCACGTTCTGCAAGGTTGCACTGAGACAGGGACGTTTCAACTGGCGCCATGATCGGGTCCTACGTGAAATCATGAAGACTGTTTCATCACAGATTGAAGAGTTTAATTCCGACATCGCCAAGGAATCGAAGAGGGCACCGTCGGTCTTTCACAAGGCAGGCAATAAGCGCGAGAAGGTTACCTTAGCTGACCCAACTCATCATAAGACCAAAAGATATTTCTTTTCAGATGCCAACGACTGGAAGATAATATTTTATAAGGATAAGAGACAGAGGAACTTCCCGCAGCACATTGCAGCTACACCACTAAGACCTGATGTAGTGATCTATTCAGATAAAGTAAAGAAGGTTTATCTAATGGAGCTGACTTGTGGAAATGAGCAGAACTTTGCTGATCAAGAGAAGCGAAAGATGAAGAGATATCAGCAGCTGACAGAAGAGATAGAAGCCAACGGATGGGCTTGCAAGCTCCAGACAGTAGAAGTGGGAGCTCGAGGCATTTACAACTATAGCCTCCCAACCTTTATGAACCACCTGAACGTAAACAACAAAGAGAAGAAGAAGGCCTGCATGAAGATCGCTGAGATCAGCCTGAGGGCATCGTATACCATCTATTTGTCCAGAAACAATACCATATGGACAGATGATTGGGAGTTAGTCAAGAGACCAGTAATAGCATAGTAGGAGCGTAGAATGTTTGGGCCCAGAAAAACATGTTTAATACCGCTATGAACCCGTCATAAGCCGGGGACTACTATGAAAATGATGATGCTGTGTTGTTGAAAGACCTTCGACCAATCAAAGATGTACCTCATCACGCCAAGCAGTTATGCTTGTAGGTGAATATACACTTATAGAGTACAACAACTTTATAACACTCCTTTCATGTCTTTATTTTAATGCATCAACCAACTTAAAACCAATACTAGATCAAACAACTCTGTATAACATACTCATTTGTAACCATGTTACGTTATTCAAAGAAATGGGCCTTTTATTGATTATGAGCCATATACCAAGATTGTTGTAATGCCTTTATACAAGAATTGCTGCACTAATAACCTGGTTTTAGAGTTAAATACATATCCTACACTAGCTGTGGTTGTAACAAACTATAAAGATATCATGAAAACAAGATGTTACAAAATGTCCATTTTGGGCCTTTTTATGAACTCACAAGTGGGCCTTTTTTCATTCCGCAGCTAAGCAAATACCTAAAGCACATTTTTTCCCGATCCATGACTCAAAGTGCCGAAGGCACAAAAGAGTCAAGGACAAGGGTTAGCGATCGAGGTTTTTTTGGGATATGGTAGCTTTGCGACCGTGCGACCGTACGTGCCTGCGTGCCTGCCGCGCCTGCGTACGTGTCGCCCACGTGTCTGCCTGCGCAAAGTTATTTTGCGCGAAAATCTGAATTAAACAATTGTTGGCGCGCGGTGCTGAAATGTTCAAGTACATTGTTAATTTCACCATGTACGCATCCCGCTAGAGACTAATTGATAGCATAGTATTATTATTTTGACTTAGTATTACTATTTTGCACAGATCCGTGTCAGGTTGCATAAACAATAAACATATGGTTACATAGAAATATACACGATTTTCAAATTAAATATGGAATTATATCAACTGGGCGGCGCTCGGCCTGTCACTCCGCCATATCTGTATGCTTATAAACAGTAAAGACTGGGGTCCCCAGGTGGTATGGAATATGATCAAATACTCCATCACGGATCGGGAAATTGAGCGGCCATCCACAAAAGAAAAGCGGCCGCATTTCTTGTTGTGAAGCAAGAATCTTTAGAATTTAATAATTGGCTGAGCCATTGAAAAGTGTAACCAAATGTTACATTTTTCAATATAACTGGGCCATTTTACAATATTATTCATAGCCGATGACCTGAGACTATTTGTTATCACAATTATAATCATCTCTGAAAGT